CTACTTATGATAAAGAGTTCTATTCCATTGTTAGAGCTTTAGATCATTGGAGTCATTATCTCCGACCTAATCACTTTGTGTTGCATTCTGATCATGAAGCATTGAAGTACATACATGGACAACAAAAGCTCAATCCTAGACATGCTACGTGGGTTGAATTTTTACAATCATTTAATTTTTCTTCAAGGTACAAACAAGGGAAATCGAATGTTGTGGCTGATGCATTATCTAGAAGATACACTTTGATTGGAATTCTAAATAGCAAGCTACTTGGTTTTGAATTGATCAAAGAATACTACAAAGGTGATGATGATTTTGCTACATTGATTGAAGAGTGTTCTAAAGGAGTCGTGGGTTCTTATTTGCTGCAAAATGGTTTTCTTTTCAAGGGAAATCGACTTTGTCTTCCTATGTGTTCTATTAGAGAGCTAGTTGTTAGAGAAGCTCATGGGGGAGGAATTGCTGGTCACTTTGGCATTACAAAGACCTTGTGTATGTTACAAGAACACTTCTATTGGCCTAAGATGCTCACGGATGTGCAACTAGTTATTTCTAGGTGTGCAACTTGTCAAAAAGCGAAGGCTACTTTTCATCAAGGCTTGTATACTCCTTTACCTGTTCCAGATTCACCTTGGGAAGATATTTCTATGGATTTTATTGTGGGATTGCCGAGAACACAACGGGGGAAAGACTCTATTATGGTTGTTGTGGATAGGTTTTCTAAGATGGCTCACTTTGTTCCTTGTCACAAAGTGGATGATGCTATGAAAGTGGCGGAATTATACTTCAAAGAGATTGTTAGATTGCATGGAATTCCGAAAACTATTGTGAGTGATCGAGATACAAAGTTCATGAGTTTCTTTTGGAAGTCTCTATGGAAGCTTGTGGGAACTAAATTGCTCTTTAGTACATCTTACCATCCACAAACTGATGGACAAACCGAGGCTACTAATCGTACTCTTGGTGCGCTTTTGCGTGGGTTAGTGAGTAAGACACAAAAGGATTGGGACATCAAGTTAGCTCATGCGGAGTTTGCTTATAATAGATCACCTACATATGCTACCAAACATAGTCCTTTTGAGGTAGTTTATGGAGTCAATCCGAAACTTCCAATTGATCTTGTTCCATTGCCTAAGGGTGAGTTAATTCACAAAGATGCCGAGTCTAAGTTGAAGAGTATGCTGAAATTACATGCTCAAGTTCGAACAAGAATAGAGAAAGTAAATGACATGTACAAAGCTAGAGCAAACAAGCATAGAAGGCAACAAAATTACAATGTTGGAGACTTGGTATGGTTACATTTGAGAAAGGAAAGATTTCCAGGAAAACGCAAGAATAAGTTGATGCCTAGAAGTGAAGGTCCTTTTAAGATTATTGAGAAGATCAATGACAATGCTTATAAGTTAGAACTTCCGGGAGAATATGGAGTTAGTGCTACATTCAATGTTGGCGATTTGGCTAAGTATATTCCTGATGAAGAACTTCGAGATTTGAGGACAAATTCTTTCGAAGAAGAGGAGGATGATGCAAGTCTAAGCATAGAGAACTTCGAAGATTTGCTTATCATGCATCAAGATAGCTTGTCCCTAAACATTGATTCAAGCCAAGCATTGCATGGACACTTTCTTGGATATCAAAGCAAAGCCACGGTTTGCTTAGTGGCTTTTCTTGGAATCTAGTTCACTTTCTTGAACTTTCTTGAATTTTCTTTACTTAGATTTTGCTTACAAGTTTTTACCTTTCACTTGAAAGGGTTTTTCTTGGTTCAAGCATTAGGATCTTTAATATTTATTTAGTTGCTTTAAAAATCAGTTAGTTAGCAAAATAAATCAGTTTAGGCGTGTGCTTGTTCTCCAAGGTGCTTGCTCTTCAAGCAAGTTAGAATTCTAGTTTAATTAGGATTGAATTAGGAACTTGTCCTAATCTTCCTAGGAAAACTAAGTCTATAAATAGGGCTGTAAAACACACGAATTATAGACAGATTAATATACATTGTTTTAAGTTTAAACACTTAAGTTTTGTTGATTGTGATCAATTGTTGTTCTGCTTGTTTTAGATAAAACATTCGTTTGGATTGATTAATTAGGTGGATTCTTAATTGATTGGTCTTAGTTTTTTGTTTAATTCTTGGTGGATTTCCTGTATAGAATTAGACTTAAACATATCCCTTGTGTTTTGTTGATTTTCAGATCAATAATTCACATCAACTCTCAACTCAAATATAACGTTATGTGAAGCCCAGTAAACTTTATTTTTATTTGAACACCTTTACCTTCTGTAATGAGTGAGTTTGATCAAACACATTTCTCAACTTTGATATGACCATTTACCAGATTACCACTATAATTTGTGAATATGTGTTGGGTGGTGGATTGCACATGGCCCCTAAGTGAAACTATTATAAAAGGACCCTCAATATATTAAATTTACTTGTAAAAAGTAAAGAGAAAATTTGTTAATCAATAATCTATTCTTTAATTCTATCATAAAATTTATAATTTAGTAAGGTATATTTCCTTCAAAAAATGATTTTAGGGCCCAATTTAATAAAATTGCATCGAGGCCACTTTCAGTGTTAGTATTTATAGCACCGTCTCTGGCTACTATTCCACGTGCCCACTTCTCCACCGGGCCACCTCAAACTTGCATGTATGGATAATTGGATATACTATGTGAACAATTTTCCTTTAGTTCTTTCTATACAAGTTTAGATTAGATACAAATATAAAAAAATCAGCCGAATAGAACACACTTGTATAAAAACCATGTTTCCTTTTATTAGATAACATACCGGGCAAGTAGAGAAGAAGAGGAGAGCTGTGCATTCTCTTCCCAGTCTCCAACGGCGAAAACCAACGAGGCGGACCACGGCAACCTGCACCGTCAGATCCGATGAAAAGCTTAGCCAATTCAAAGTAATCTCTCCAACTCCTCTTAACTTCCTGCTCCTCTTCCATGCCGCCGGAAATTACAGCTTTTCCGTTCATATAATTATCCTCCTTACTCTCCGCATTGACAGCAACAAAAGCAGCTGAACGCCGCCGTGCTGAGGCGGTGCCAAACAATGTTAGTGGTGTCGATGATAATCTGGCACCGGCGACGGAAGTAGCCATTGGTTTAGTACGAGAGAAAAGTACATAAACAGTAGAGAATGCAAATATATAATGCAAGAATCCAACACGGCAATGTCTACAACACTTTAATTGTGGACTGTGGAGTATACAACATAATTTGTTTGTCCAGTGATCTTATTACACTAACGAAAGTTCTCTTCCTGCTTAATTAATTGTTATATTGAGTAGTGAGTACTCTAAGTACAATTTTCAATAACTTCATTTAAATAGGAGTACTAATTAAGTAATCGTACCTACCATCTAATTTGGGGAAAAAAATACAAGTTTGATCTTCATACTCCCTATCACCTAATTTCGGGAGAGTTGTGCATTATCAATAATCAATAATTCAATTCAAACTCAATATCAATAATCAATAATCATCAATATAATTTTAATACTAAAAGCGAAACCAGTGATGACACATGTCATTCACTAGTTAAAAATTTTCCCTCCATTTTTTTAACCTTTTTTTTGTGTGTGTGTTTTTTTTTTTTTTTTTTATTTTGTTAATTCTTCATGAAAATTATTTATAGCCTATAATATTCACCTAATGAAATATTCTTATATATATATATATTTTTATGTTAAGTAATTTTGTAATTTTCTCCAAGATTTCTACAATATTCTCATACTAATATTTCTATAATAATCTCATGCTAATATTATAATTTGGGAAAGCCTTACTTCTATATTAATCTCATGCTAATATTTTTTTATAAGAGTATTTGATGTTTCATTATTTTCCTCACCTTACTTATATATCATAATGAAAAACCTATGACTCACTCATTTTTAAGAATTTGATTTTTACATATAGAAAACTAAAGTTAAAGTTAACTAAACTTGTATAAACCAATGTGTATGTCAAACTACGTCAACAAAATAAGGACAGGATAGGGTATATAGCATGGGTTCTAAATAATCAATAGACCCTAATTTTTTTTTCATATTTATAAAGTTTAACACATCAATAGCCCTAGAAATTTACATGCATCATTGTAAAAAAAAAAAAAGTCAATATAGCTATTGTTTTTTACATTTATAAATGTAATTCTTTGTTTATATATAATTGTTAAATTAATGTTATAGTTAGTTAAATAATTTTATAAAATGTTCGATCCCCCGCAGCAACAATCGAGAGGGGACTAGAACCTAACCACCCAAAACTGATCCCCGAATACGGATTAGCCCAAAGGGTGAACCGGGTGGAACACAAAAAAAATAAAAATAAAAATAAAAAATAATTTTATAAAATCCGTGCATTGCACGGGACTTAACTAGTTCACATATAAAAGACTATAATTTTTGTTTTATATTTATGTTTATAGTTATTGAATTATAGTGTTATTATTATAAAATAAATCAATAAATATATAGTAAAAGCTAAAGTCTCAAATCCTGGTTGGAACAAAAAATAAAAATTCAAAGAAAAAATACGTTGTAGAATGATACAAAAACGGGAGTAGTACATTATTCTAATACTCATATTACTTTATATGTTTGTTTATGATAGAAAAATACCTATTATAAAAAAATATGCATATAGAATATTTCGTATATAGTTGCCAAATTGAAGGTTAAATATTATAGGTTATATATAAATTAATATTAATGAAGATTTTGTACAATTTTTTTTTAAAAAAAAAAGGAAAGAAAAAAGTGGCGGGAAATTTTTTAATCAGAACATGACAAGTGTCGTGTCAGATTCGCTTTTAGTATTATGTAATGATGATTGATGGTCAAAACCAACCATGCATTAGCACATCACACGTGCAAATATACTTAAAACTCGATTTTTACTACTACTCCGTATTATATTAAAATTGACGCAAATTCTCTTAATATCAGTTTTGGGTAATTTTTACTAATAAATATTTGAATATAGTAAGTCAAATTTGTGCATTGGAATGTATCCCCATTCAAGGGGCATAAATTATAATGAAACAAACAAAAAAACAAAAACAAAATTAAAAGGGAATAAATAATCAACTCACTTATTTACCTTTGTAAGTTTGTAATCTCAAACCAACTAAACTATCCCTCACTTTCATAATTCTTTACATTGCATTATACTATTGTATTCTATTTTCAGGCCAAATTTTGAATCGAATATTGACCTTACTCTTAGAAAGAGATTTTTTTTTTTTTTTTTTAAAGGAACCGTTAGACGGGCAATAATAGAAAATAGAATATGTTATTTAAACAAATAATAAACTTAGCACATAAACCTTGAAAAAAATTGTTGGAGAATTAAGCTAGTAGAGTAGTCAAATTGAACACTATATATGCATAATTGATCAATTATTATGGAAGGTGTTTCAATGCTTACACGTTAACTAGTCTTTAATTATGAAAATATATATTTTTTTTTTTTTGGTGTTCCATCCGGTTCACCCTTTGGGCTAATCCGAATTCCGATTGTTGTTGCGGGGGATCGAACACGGGTCCTCCCTACCAAGTGTAGTCCCAATCACCACTACACCAACAACTAATTGGTATATTATGAAAATATTTAACAGTACTAATTACTATATCTATATTTAAATATTGAAAAGAATAAAAACCGATACAGCAGTTACATAATGTTATTTTCAACCAATACGAAGTTGAAGCTTTAACCCTGTATTAATAAGAGAAAGAATTGAGTCACCGATCGATTGCCAGATTTTTTTTGTTGTAAAGGTCTTTTTTGCTGTGTAGGAAGCATGCATGATGCCTGGACCATTTGTAATTATGTAACTAATAGTTAAAGCTCGAATGTAGGAGCATCATCCGCAGAACCATGAATGGTGTGGTACAATGTTCGGGCAGCAAGACTCCGGTAGGGATCTTTTTCCCTTTTCTCCTTTAAATACGAGATGCAACGCTCAACCTCTGACTTCGCTTGCAAATATACTTCATGAGCTTTCTCTCTGTCGCTCAATTCCTGTTTCATCCCTGTAGTACACAACAAAATTCTATACATTATAGGCTTATAGCAAAGATGACTGACAAAATGCTAAAAAGATAAGTTGATTGGATGATGAATAGAGTAGTAGACATGAGATAGAATCTTCGCATAAGCAAATCAGAAAGATACCTGCTGTGTCAATTGGTTTACCAAACAGAAAATAGAAACGGCCAGGAAGTTTTGGCAGAAGCCCTGGTAAATACGCAGGTTGGTTTGCAACTTCCCCTTCCATGTCAGTCCTACCATTAGTTTTAGCAAAGGTTAACTCGTAGTCGTAGATGAGCAGATTGAATGGGGCATGCATATGCTTTCATATTATTGCAAGCCTTTGTTGTTTGTTTAATGGCTCATATAAAATTCTTGTCAAGTAAGAATCAGGACAAGAATTACCTTAACTGAATCTGAGTAGTTCGTTTTTCTATGGTTTCTCTGAGATATGGAATCTTCATCTGATCTTCTGAGTCTAGTAGAATCTGGAGAAATGCAACTATGTCATATACTAAACCAAACCAAAAGAATATTCATACATAAAAAAATTCAAGCAATTTATGGATGAAAGTAGTGAGACAAATAAGTTGTATAGCTTAAACCAAGGTGTAAAAATGTACATCTATAAGGAACAAGGTTGTCGACAACTTGCATACTTCACTAACCTCAGTAAGCCAAGGATCGTGTCGTATGAGTGTGTATGAATGAATTTGCAAATAAGTTCATATAAGCTCATTGTTGTAGACTTGTAGTACAGAATGGACAAGCATGAAAAAGTTCTAATGGATAAAGTATAACAGAGGAGCACAAACTAACCTCACAAATGTCATCTTCTCCAACAGCCCCAAACGGTATAATTTTGGCTCCAAATCTAGCAGCCATTCTCACAAATTCAGACCTTTCTGGCCAAAATAACTGATATCCCTCACCCTGCATTATTCAACATTTAATCAAATTCTAATTATAAATTGTCACAGAATCACTCCAATGCAATCATACATACAGATGCAAGACTTGCATCTGCGACTTAAAATTATCTAATTCCAGGAACTACAATAGAAGTAAAACTTGGCACAATTATATTTTATTACATAGGTGTTTCTATTCCAAAAAGGAGAGGGGGTTTCAAACATGCAGCATATAATTCTATGTAGCTCTGTATGTAATTAGCCCACATATCTACTCGAAAATCAATGTTTTAACCGATAGACATTAGCCACGTCAATTAGCAGTCTTTGGAAACTAATGTACAAGGCACATGATTATATAATCATTGATTCTTCTCTTTTAACATTTTGCTTCTGGCATTTTTAATGCAATAAATTATAAATTAATTTTGAACTTTCAGATGTATATTTGTGTTGATGACTGTAGTAGCAAATAAACAAGCTTTGCAATAGACTTCACTAACATATGTCACAGCCTAAGGTAGAATTTTCTCCTGTTAAGGGGAAACTCATCTAAAGTGGAGCTTGTATTATCAGTTTATGCCTGCTTATCAAAGCATATAAAATTACAAGTGCAAAATCATCTAACATTGCACTCTTGCATACTGGATCTCATGGATCATCTAATAGCTGGTCCTTTTCAGATATGACATGTCTAGGTTAATTTGTTTTCTCTAAGACAGTGCAATGATATTGAAAATATTGTGTGTTGCAGTATTCCTGGGTTGCTGAAAAGTTTTCAGCAAGATACCACTCATAAGCGATAAACAATATTGAGTTTTTATCATCTTGGCTGATTTTCCTTACATTTTATAGGGAGCAATGTAAGTTTTGGTCAATTAAGCAACTTCCATTCATAAATCTACACAGGGGAAGATGAGAATGCTTCAATGTATATCTAAACTAGAAATGCTAAAATCAAGAATGAAGTCATAACATAATACATGAGCTTAATCTTGTAAGAGGAGAAGATAGAAGAGGTAATGCTAGATTTAGCTTTTTAAGTTCTAATATTATAATGTGGTGCAAATTTCTAGACTCTGTAGACTAAGGGCTCTCCTATAGCATTTCAAAATCACAGATGGTGCAAAAATCAATTCCACTCTTCTCCCTCAAAGTCTTCTCCAGTGATCACTCCTCCTTTCCTAGCAGTGGCTTTAAAAGATACAGAATGTTGTAGATGCTACCTGATGAATTAGCATCACACTATTAATATTACTCGAGGAATCCTGGTCCTGCTTTTATAAAATAGTTCTCTGCTAAGTAGCTAGAATTACCTATGAATCCACTTTTCCCATTACAAAAGGTTCTCACTGCAGGTCTTTCTGAAAAAAAAGTCTATTCTACATTACCCTAATATTGGGGAAAGCTACATACATTTGACATTCATCTATACTTTAAAGCCTTAACCTTCCATAAAAAAGAGCTTAACTCGAAAAACATGCAATATTCTAAGAGAGACAGAACCTTTTTATGAAGAGCTTCACGCATTCCTCCTGGATACAGAAGAATGTGAGAACCTGAGGAAAGCAACTTGTAGAAGTTACTGGCCGAGACTGGAACTGCACCCATGATCCTATATGAATCGAACATAGATAAATCCAGGGCATCTTCTTGCACCTTTGCAAAGATCATAGGATGTGCAAGCCCCCTCATGAGGATATTTCTCTTTGACATAAAATTCATTACTAGTGGATAAATCTCCAAACCCAGTATCATGTGATATCCAACATATATAACAGGACCTTCACTAGGAATTCCTGCAAGGCCTCGCACAATATCACCATTCTCCAAAGTAGAGAGCATCACTGGTCCAGTAGCAATTTCAAGCCATCTGTGATCAATGATGAATTGAAGACAATTATTTTCTAGATCCACACAACATTTAAAATCTAAACCGTATTAATAGAGTTTCTCATTGTTCCTTCCCTATCAAAACATAAGGCAATTTAACCAATTATGTATCTATTAAGAAATCAGTTTAATTTTAGAGGAAAAAAAAAGAAGAATTGCTTATTTGCTTTGATGATGTTAATTGACATAATACTCCGTATTACATTGATGGTATAGAATGAACTACTAATTGAGCATTGAAATAGTAGAATGACTAGTATTAAAAACAAAATGTTTTGCTAAAATGTTGTATATCTTGTAATGAAGGGGCTATACGATTAATATGACATCGAAAACTTTTCTTTTCTCCCTTTTTAACTTTTACACGTCTGGTGTCCATATTGCTGTTCATTCAGGAGATATATACTAAAATTGATTATATACCTGAATGATTCAGCTGTTTTCTTAAATTCAGCTTTGGTGGGAGGCAAATAGTCATAAACATAGTCATGGAATTTACCACGGCGATAGAGACTTGTGCCCTTTATAATGGTCACTAAATCAACACCATCTTCCTGTGAAAAAAAAAAAATTAAAAATAAAAAAATTGTGAAGACTAGACCAGAAAATCCACAGCGAAGAAAAGGATCATGTAAACACAAGTATATAAATTGAAGATAGGGAAGTTAAAAGCAAAAGAGTGAACCTTTGGGGTCAGAGGCAAAATTAATACCGTGTGCACAAGACAAACTGACAAAGCACATTGGTTTCTTCAATACTTCGTATAGTAGTCACATTACCCACACAATATAAGTGAAAAGGTGGATAGTAAAAATGAAAACAAAAACAGATTACGTATATACTAAATCAAGAAGTAATTTTATACAAAGGGTGCAAAACAAGTAACCAAATGTTGAAGAGACGAGGGGCAAACGAATTCTGACTTCCCTTGCCAGAAATAAAAATAAATACTATAAAAAAAATTAAAAAATAAAAATAAATAAATAAAACAAAAACGATGAATTCCTTGCTTTTTCCAGGGAGGGAAGAGGAGAGCAGATGTAAATAATAGAGCGTACACCTTAGATAGTGTGATATGAACATACATATTTCCTAAAATTGACCTGGATGTAAAGTTGCATACAGTAAAGTTGTAATGTTTGATGTTTCAAAAATGAGCTTGCATATTTCAGAAACATATCTGAATACCATAAATGATAGATAAGCACACAATATAATAAGTGATGGGATTAACAGGATACTATCATTTCCTGGTGTCTTCAAATGCATTTTTGTCTCTCTAAAATATTACTCAAATAACATTCCCTCCCCATGAAATTGCCACCGCAATGCAATTATATGTGTCACAACACTCACAAGTATTACATGAATATTTATATTCGGAATTAACTGTCATACCAGCATCCAATTTTGCACGTACGATCCTGAACTTTAAGAAAGGACAAAGTTCAACTAACCAGGAAGAGAAAATGACCAGAATCGTTGAATTTGCGGATCTCACACTTTGACATTTTACCACTGTTCTTCAACACATAAATCTCTTGTTTTGGTAAAGATGCACGAATCCTTTCTGCTTCCTCCAAACTTGGCAGTAGTGGATCCCTTCCACTGAGATAACATAAAAGCCAAAATTCAGAAATGAAAGTGAAAAGTGAGGATAGCCACCATGAGTCAGATCTTACCCTGACACAGAAAGGAGTGGTACATGCAAGCAAGAGTTCATTATATACTTGTATTTACCTAGTACAGATAACAAGTTGACTTCTCTGAAAACAATTAAAATAGCATGCTTTTCTCGGGGTTTAAGCAAATCAGAACTGGATATAGAGGATATCTGTGTTACTTATCAACAGATTAAGTTTATGAGACGAAAAGAATGACCACCTGGCCAGAATTAGAATCTGAGCTTTGACAGCATGTAAACGGGAATTGGCATATGAGCAAGCTGATTTCATCATCTGCAGCTTCCACAAAAGTGTGTCTCTAGGAAGGATATCAGCCAAGACCTGCAACCTTAATCATGAATGTCTTTTAAGTAGGTAATATGTGAATAAACAAACTGGAGACAAATACAACAAATAACTGTTGCACGTTCTGCAAATTAGATTGAGCACCGATACATCAAAATTTGAAAGAACCATGTTCACTCTAAGAAATTTCCAGCAATGAGCTATGAGCTCAACCAAGAACCCATACCTTATTTTGTTGTCAGTTGTAAAAAGACAAGAAAATAACATTCTAATAACATGAATGGTATAAATCTTCATACGTAATTTGGTATTTCAACAAAGTAAAGTCACATAATAAGCCATATATGTTAAGCAAAAAAGCTTACAATAATATTTCACATAAAATCAGAAAGAAGACATGATAATTGAGTAGAAGGGTTTAAAATTTTTATTTCTCTCCCATAGATCTCCCAAATCCCAAAATAACATTTATTATCCGGTAATCCCTGCAGTCCAGGAAATAAGAGAAAGTCTTCAAGCAGACAAGCAGAGTGAAAAAAACTGCATGTAAAGGAGTTATTGTTCTATAATGCCTTTCCTTAAAATTTAATTTTGACAACAAGCATAGAAGCTCAAAAGCCTTGCAACACAGTTTAAACTACACAAATCAATTTTCACAATGACTCAGATGTCAGACAATACATGCAGTGGAGATTCATTAAAAGTATTGAGCCTTACAGAAAAGTATGATGACAGCTCACCAAGACCTTGAGAAAGTTGTTCCAATGTTGCTTGTTGTTCAATCCCTTTCCCCACACTAGATGAGATCAGATTAAAGGGCCCACCTGAAAAAATTGTCAAGAAATTGTCAATTGCTTGTTTTTTTTTTTTTTTTTTTTTTGGGTGCTAATCTGAATCTAATTAGTCCAATTCTCGTAGTTGAAGCCCAATATGGAATAGCACCAAAAAGTCGCATTATAAAAAAAAAAATTCACTGCATTGTCTAAAATTAATGATGGGTGAGTACTGAGTAGTGACGAAGTCAGAAGCTCTATCATCAGGGAGCCACATTATAAAGTTAATAATTAACAACTTAGTATCTAAACTGTGTCCAGCTCGTAATGTTTATGGAAGTCAAGCTTCCCTCTGAAGAACAAGACTCTTAAACTTTTGAAAGCTTGCATTATATTTTTAATTTTATGTACGGTTCATTTCATCAATCGAACTCATCTTCTTATACATAACTCTTTCATTGAATATCCAGTTTATTACATCCTCTGAGATAGAAAAATAGACTAAAATTCTCCACATACCATGTTTTGCTGATTTTTCAAAGTAAAGATTTAAATCAGGTAAAGGTCCACACTGCTGTTTCTGGCAACATGGGAACTACGATCACTTGACAGATACATTTTCTCTGATCTATACTTGTTTTATCTTAGAAACATATATTATAAACAGATACTGGCATACTTCTGCCCTCACTTTGCTTCTGAAAGAAATTGAATATATGGAGCACAAAAGTTGACACCAGTCACAGCTGGACATTGACATTCACCTTTATCGTCATTTCTGAGGTGTAGATCCATTAATTATGAGTCACTCAAAGCTTAACCCTACTCGCATAAAATTATACAAATCTATTACAAAAGACGACAAACACAAATTAGTCCGGATCCTGCAACTAATTTATAAAAGAGGTGTAGTGATCATTTATTAAATGAACAGAGGGAGGTAGGAAATATTATCCAGTCTTAAGTCTGTGTACAGACTGCAGGCATAGAGATTAAACAATACACATCAGAGAATGAAATACTTCGTAATAGAAAGGAAACAATACCTGTCATTAGGCTGAGGGTGTATGGTAAACTAATCAGAGAAAGCTCATTAGGGATAACTTCCAGTAGAGGTAACAGAGATTGCAGGTGTGACTTGTTGTAACAAGTAGCTGCAAGACCAAAATCAACAACATATAATTACTAATACATGCAGGGTAACAGAATAAACATAAGAAAGCCAAATTCCAGTTCCTTTTCACAGTAAAATTCGGCTTTGGCGGAGTGACCTGACAATAACCTCCTCTGTGATCAAAGCTTTATGTGAATTATGTCTAGACTTCTCCTGAAGTATGTAGCAACCAGACAGATAGTATAATGGATGTACAGTTAACCTAGCAGCACACTGAAAAGTGATGGTTGACTTAAAATGTTGAGTTCAGTCTTGGTAAAGGATTAAAGACCTGGATTTTCAAATTTTTGTGAGGGTATGACTAAATCAATATTTTAATCTCCTGAGAGATGTTTCTAACTATATATCCAGCTTGCAGATTTTACTTGTAAAACCTCATCGATCAAGGGTCTTAAGAATATTTGCATGTGGCGGAACCAAACTTTCTGAATAGTCAAATAGATAAAATCATATGGGTAACACTTTAAACGTTGATTGAAAGATTCACAAAATGTGTCATATAGCCAAAGGTTTAGCTAATAGTGGCATATTTTTATAGAAACTTGAAATCCCAAGATTGATGCTATTTCAGCTAAAAAATTATTTAAATGGGAAATCATTGAGAAAAATTTACAAGCACAAGCGAGTTACTCAAAAATAATTCTTACCAGGATTAGCCAAAATGAGTACAAGATCAGTATCAGGGTTTCGAGCTGCCACAGCTAATGCAAGACATCCTCCCATTGATTCGCCAACAAGATATATGGGTCTCCCAGGAGAACGACCATACTCTGATCTAACAGTTTCCTCTACCAGCATTACCAATTCTATAATAGAGAGAATGATAATAGTAGTAAACAATATCTTCTATATGATCAAAGAAATTGGGGTTACTATAATACAAAACGGAACAGAGGAGGAATGGGCGAAAAGGAGAGTAGCACATGTAAAAAGTGTTCAACATAAAAATTATTTTACATTTGTTATATAAGATGTAATTCCATAATGTTGTTAATACTTATATAAAACAGGATTACAGGCCACAGGAAAAAAAAAAAAAAAGCAAAGGTGATATACTCCATGTGTATGTATATATAATGAATGTTGCAAAAACAAAAGAGAAGGAATTAGACCTTGAAATGGAGTTCGGTCCTTGACAGGTATGTGCAAGCACCATACATCAAAAATCCTTGAAAAGGAAGACAACACCTCATTAGTTCACATCAAATGTTGGCAGGTTTGTGCAAGCACCATACATAAGAAAATTTTGGACAGGTAATGGAGCATTTAATACTCACTTGCCTAGCTTTTGCTGTTGTAAAACAAGTCCACATCCAAGACCATCAAGTCCTGAAAATTATATTTTATCAATCCATAAGTTCAACAGTTAAGGAAGAAAAACATAGGTAAAAATAGTTATGAAAGATTAAACATAACGCGCTGACGTACTGCTAGTTATAATCTTATATAAGATATGCAATCCTGTTTCATCCATTAGGCAAAAAATAAGAGGATTCAGGTGGTTTAGTTACTTTTGTGTTTGGTAGCAGATTGGATAATACTCTGTAGGTTATTTCTAATTTTGAAAAGGCACTATCGAACTGTCGGATTTGTCTATGATTTCATGGTCCAATAATAATGCATCTAGCTTTTTCCGATCAAGTGCACTTGCTCTACATAATCCTAACTCATTGATGGCAAATTTCAAGATTTTTGCAAAAATGTTGATCATTTTTTTGTCGGAAAATTTGGAGCTTTTTCCACATTTCTACAACTTGGTATACCTACCTGGCAACCCATGTAGCCGACATACCTCGCTTAAGTATATGAAAAAGTTATGCAGCCATCAGATCATCCCAAATGCACACAAGATGCCATACAAACAACAAGCATTCCCATGCATTCGGGTACCCATGAAGTGTCCAAGCGTCCAACTTGGCTATTTTGTGGGGAAAAAAAATCCATGTTTTTGAACCAAATGTGAAGTGTCCAAGCGTCATACTCATGAAGAAAAAAAAAACGAGCACCTAAAAATCCATGTAAAAACAGGATTATCAAAGAAATACAGAGTAAAACTCAAGGAGTACTACAAAGAGGGATAGTGTAATATTGGAATGCACATGGACTCTTCATTTCACCTTAAATACCCATGTCGGAATCTCAACACTTGGACATGGGTATGTAAGGATACACTTTTAGTGAGAGTTTTTGGGTCAAATGTAGCCAAAAAAAATAAGAGACGGAGGGAGTACTTCTCTTGTCTCACGGAGTACATCCATTCCTATTATTAATCTCTAATTCGATATCTTTACTTCTGCCCACACCCACAAGCCTAGCATGAACAATTAAATCACCCCATTTGCTAATGATACACACCTTTCACATCAGTATGTCATTTATACTACCAAGCAAGTTTTAGCAAACATCTTCATACAAACAGATGATGCAATTCATATAATCATATGTCAAATTCTCCTTTAAAAATATTCATTCAAAAGAACCTTTTATAACAAGTAACGAAATCAGCTACCCTAAACTACTCCACAATCCACATTACCACATACCATTGTCAACTCTACTTGGTGTACTTTTCCTTTTCAAAAAAGTTAAAAAAAAAAAATTAAAAAATTAAAAAAACGCTGCGTAGTTAAAACTCCGTAGTCTAACTGTTGCACTTAAAAAAATTAAAATAAAAAAAAAAATGTAACTTGTGCTCCAATTTTTATTTTTATTTTTTTAAATTGCGAAATAATTTTAAACCCGAATCTATTACTGTTGCATTTAAAAAGAAACAGAATAATTCAAAACTCGAATTAAATTACATACCGGGCAAGTAAAGAAGAAGAGGAGAGTTGTCGATTCTACTCCCACCCTCCAATGGCGAAAACCAACGAGGCGGACCACGGCAACCTCCACCGTCAGATCCGATGAAAAGCTTAGCCAATTCAAAGTAATCTCTCCAACTCCTTTGAACTTCCTGTTCCACTTCAATGGCGCCGGAAATCACGGCTTTTCCATTGATATGATTATCGTCCTGATTCACCGCCACTCCTACCATCGGCGTTACGGTGGTTGTTGCGGCGGAAGCCGACCATGAATTAAGCTTGCGCTCTAAGTTGACTGCAACAACTGCCGCCGGTCGCCGCCGCGATGAGGCGGTTCCGAAAAACGTCAGTGGTGTCGATGATAATCCGGCGCCGGCGAGGTAGCCTACGCCGGAAACCGACATGGATTTATGATGAGAGAGAAGTAGAGAAGTCAATGTAGTAGTCAATTCGAAGTGTGTGTCTTTACTCTCCAAGTCTTTATACATAAACAAATGTCTAATTCGGGTAATGGGGTCAATTTATAATTGAAATTAGAAATAAATGTAGATAAATCTGTTTGGGTGGATTAATTTAGGTACACGACTACTGTTTTTTTTTTATTATTATTATTAATAATAGACAATAATAGTGTTTTGCTTTTGTTTTAACCATGGAAAATGGAAAATGATGTGGATTTCTTTTACATAGTTACATATGACACAAGAAATAATTCTTAAAGGTTGAAATATCAATTGTAAATCAAACATTAATCATAGTGATTATTAGGTTAATGTCCGCACAATGCATAAATTTAATCAAAAGAAATTAAAAATTGGTTAATATTTTATATCGTTAAAATAATTTTGAAACCAATTTTATAAAACTCATGTTATTTTGATATGAACTTATTATTTCAATTTATATACATTTTATTTTTAAATAAATACATGTTATTTCATTCTTGCATGCTTTTTTTATACATGTTATTGAAATAAATAACATACTATTTTAGCAAAATAACACGACATTTAAACAAAATAACATGAGGTTTAGGAAAAATAACTCAAACATAATTGGTATGGAGTACATGATCCAAGAGTATGTAATACTAATTGAGACAAAATTGCTACGGAGTGGTTACTACTACAAGTACAATAATAATTCTCGTATTTAATTCAACTTAAATCAATGGTATGTAAGAAATAGAGAAGAAAGCAAACTAAAGTAGGAGATGAGATTAAATTGAGGTGAAAAAGTTTGGCTTAGTAGTCGTAGACTCGTAGGGTATATTTGGGGGAAAATAATCAGTAAAATCAGTTTATTTTTCTTTACTTTTCTCAACTTAATTCAAATTAATCTCGATAAAAGCATCATTATCAAAATAAAATAGTATCATCTTTGGATTAGGCGAAATTTTGCAGTATATAGTGACAATAGTGTCATATGTCATGTAGAATGGTAGATATTAAGCTATAGCGCCCAATGATTTTATACTTCTGCTACAACTCTACAAGTATGTCGATCATGCAAATTTACTCGTTTGTCCTTGTGTGTGTGTGTCGTGTAACGGCCGAGGGCCTTAGCCCTCTACTACACAAATCCACATCACAGATTCACAGCCTTGTGTTAATAATTGGAAATTTGGAACCAATAATACATCAAAGAAGGAGGCAACAAGACAACAATCTGCTTATTAAGTTATTAAGACTAGAACATGCATGAACCAGAAAAGGGAGTCAATATATCACGAAACAATACTCACAACAGTATGTATTTTGAAACCAGTTACTGCTCCCTTTATCCCGAAATAAAAGTCATGTATGCAATTTTCAAATTAAATGGCCAGATAAAAAGTCTCATTTTCTACTTTACTTAATTTCGGAGTAGCGTGGAAAGAGGTTGGCTGGTTGGGACAATGTGATAAAAAGTAGAAAAACATTTTATTGGTTAGTACCTCAGTTTCACTTCTAAATTTGTTTTTGAATCTTTGATGAAAGAAATCTTTGTTAAATTATGGTAATCTGCAAATAGCTGCAATATTTGAACTCTAAAATGATTAAATACTACATTCAAATGAGCTTATCATAGTACTGTATCATTAATCATTTACCAAGATCAAGATCATCAACAAATAGAAAGATTAATAATACGTAGTACTAAATTTGATGAAAAATGGAATAAGGGAGAATTCAAGTTAATCTCTGAGATTAACATAAAAAGTTAATCTCCTCTCACAATATATTGTAGATTAACCGAGAGAAAGAAACTGAGATCGGATCGTACTGTCTGATCTTATGGTGCTGCCTTACAAGTCCTAGCCTGGTGCCGTCAATCCCTGCATATATACACTGCAGAGAATAAGACAGACAGTCATGTTAACAAAAAAAAATCAAAAGAAGTAGAAGAAGAAGAATTAGAAGTAAATAACAAAGAGAAGCAACTAGGGAGATAAAGGAGCAGGGGTAGGGGCTTGGGTTTGGGCTTTGGGTAGGAATTTTAGTTTCATAAGGGAGAGCTCTTGGATTTGGACTACAGTCCTATGGGGAAAACCATCCCGGTCGCCCACTCGAACCCAGACCATTAATTGTTTCAAAGTATGTCAAGTTGGTTCATGTATAAGTTGAGACTTTTACAGTTTTACTTATTCTGCAGGCATTCCTCACTTGGTGATGTTCAAATTGTGCCTAATCATCTTCAGGTGGCAAATCTGGAAATTCCCGCTAAGTCTATGTCTATGCCTATCATGGTATCACCAATTCCATGGGCAAGCCGGCACTGCCAGTCTTTCAATAGACATGACCTAGTCGCAGTTGCTGTAGGAAAATTCCAGCAGGGTAAATCATCTAATATTCCAGGTGCCCTGTAAAACAAGTTGGATAACGCGCATGATCCAGTCGCTGTCATAGACTCGTAGTGACAGTGGTCCACATTTTCATGGATACAGCGTACAGGTGGTTCCTCATGTGTTAAAGCGATCAAACTAATAGAATTGATCATCATCATTGGAATTCATTGCCAACTACATGAATAACTTCTACTGGTACCGGTATTTCATTAAAGACAACGATCTGTTGTTAGGGAGATTGACTGGATGAATACATCAATCAATAAGACCTTAATAATGGCCCCTTAATAATTGTATATTATCTCAACTAACCATCACGACGTAATTAATCTGGTTGCTCCAACACACCTATCATGCTCTTTGAAATGGCACGGCAGGTTAAGAATTCCGTAACAGGGTGATCACAGTTGATTACACAGCCTATAATTCAAGACTTTTGGAAGCAAACTTGTCTCAATCATTCATGTTATGATTAACTTCAAAGTTTAATTTCTTATTTGTCTTGGTATTTTTATGCAAACAAAAACACTCACAACTAATTCTCGAATCATGTAATCATATGAAAGTCACTGGATATACAAAATGAAGCTGAATTAGACAACTAGGCAAACTAAATACGATAAACTACTGGGCAATCAATTAATAGCTTGTAGACAAGCAGGGCGAGTAGCTTTTATCTCATAAATTAGCCACATATCCATTAACCAAACAATTTACAACATGATTTGACAAGATCAACAACAAAAATCGCTCGACATGGCAAACAAATCGCTCATTAACAAAAGAACCCATTATGTTTTTCGGGAATTTCATGAGCAAACCTCGTCTTAGACTGTATTTTGCAGTTTTACCGTTCCTTCGGTGACTGAGATCCCATCCCTGCCCTTGGATCATGGTGTCGTGGATGGTAAGGAGAACGTCGAGAATTATCAGAATTTTTATCATTAGATGGAGATTTTTCTCCAGCGCGTCCTCTGTTTTCTTTGACCTTGATGGCTTCAACTTTTTGTAGCACTTCCACCGCCTCCTTCATGCTAGGGCGAGTCTTATGATCGGTGCGGAGGCATTTTAAGGTGTGTTGAGCCAACTCAAATGCTGCCTTGAGTGAATACTGACCCTCAAGGCGTGTATCCATGACGATTCTCAGCTTTTTTTTGTTGGAGAGATAAGGCCCCATCCATTCTACAAGATTTTGCTGCCCTTTTGGTCGGTTCAAATCAACTGCTCGCAACCCAGTTAACATCTCAAGCAGCACAACTCCAAATCCATATATATCACTATTCACATACAAGTGACCTGAGGAACATCGGGTACACATACTTTCAGCAAAATGTACACAGCCTTAATCTATCCATCATCAGTTCATTATTTCTAAGTTGTAAAATCTGTCATGTGTAAAAATATTACCTGTTGCAACATACTCTGGAGCAGCATACCCATAGGTGCCCATGACTCTGGTTGTCACATGCGAGTTTCCAACAGATGGCCCCAGTTTAGCTAAACCGAAATCTGATATCTTTGCATCATAATTCTGCAGTCATGTAAAAAGGGAACAGATGAATGAACATTACAAGCGATTTCCTGACAAACATGACAATTTGGTAATAATAGTGCAGCTTAAATTTTAACATAATTGTTGATCCTTGTCATACATATTACCATAATTACATCATTTGTGTGCAGAGATACATGGCTTGTGTCAAATAAAATATTCCAAATTCTCACATCAGTAGAAGAGATTTAAAATGATTTCTGACAAAACAAAGTTACACAGCCAAAGTAATGAGGTCATAGCTATACGTTGCTTCCTTTATTTTTCATTGTCTTACTACTTACTAGTAGTTACTACAGAGCATTTAAACATATTACCACAGTAGCCAAGCTATTATAGAAACAATATATAATCGTCCACAATACCACATCAAGAAGTATATTTGAAGCTTTGAAATCTCTATATATCACTTTATTTTCTGAATTATGCAGAAAGGCTAGGCCACGGGCTACTCCCAAAGCTATGCTCATCCGCCTGTTCCAGCTGAGTGGTTCCACGGTGGTATTCCCTATAAATCAAAAGAGAGTTAGCTTTTTCTAAAAAAGCATAGCACTATCGACAATCAATCTTTTCAAACTTACTTCTGAATAGATGATTTTCCAAGCTTCCTTTAGGCAAGTATTCATACACAAGAAGCAATTCCTTATCCTCCCAACAATATCCCAACAATTTAACCAGGTTGGGGTGGGACAGCCTTCCCAAGAAGTTCACCTCCGACTGCATTTTTTAGCAGAAGCAGCAAGTAAGACACGACCCCAATAGGAAAGGTTTTCCTGTCAGATAAATTAACTATAAACAAAACTCGATGCATTATGATGTTGGTTGTCCTGCTGATCACCTTATCATATCTATTCATCAGCTAGATACATGCTCAGATCCCCCCCCCCAATATCTAACTATGAAACTCTCTTTTCATTTTATTAAACAAATTGACAAAAAAAGGTGGCATATGAGCAATTTAATGGTTGGTTTGAAGCCCTTATCCCTGCAGTAAAACTTAAAGCAGAAGCCTCTTCCAAATTCTTCTGCTGTAAGGTGGCCAACATTGGCAGCAGGTGGCCAACATCAGCATAAGGTGGCCAACATTGGCAGCAGGGTAGCTTAACCATCTTAATTCATTTAATACTTCAAAAGAACAATTATTAGCTGTTAAAGTGTTAAGAAATGGTCACTAATATCTTTTTACGTGACTTCCAACGTATACATGCGTAATTAGGCTGCCTAGTAACTATCAGCACTGTAGCAAAATTTTTTGACAATGTCAAATATTAATTTTGATCAGTATTTATAATAACCTAACTTTTACGATAATGATACCAAGATTTAAGTTTTTGTTCAACTACTGAAGACTAACACATCAAATTTCAGTCGTCAAGACTAAGAAATGCTGATAAAAAAAAAAGTTATAAAACCGCAACTTGAGTAATTAGACCTTAGCAACATCATGCATAAAGATCTAAAGTCACAAAAGAAGAGAGGGACAACACCAACTGCCTCCCCATTAACCTACCAACTATCCAAGAGGTAAGTATCTTCTTTCCTATTTGATGCAAAAGTCCTAACTATAACTTTTACTCTTTACCTCTTAAAGTTTTTACAATTAAACAAAAGCTAGTTAAACACAATCAACAAATCATATCCGAAGTACTATTCATTTAAAATTCAACACATAGAAGCGTCATCACAAAAAGAACCAATTTAACAGTCAGTCCTAGGTTCTACTATTCACCCTCAAACGACAAAGCTTACTGGTTCCCAACTGTAGCATCTAAAACTCCTAGTCACTGGATGATAATCATAGTTAGCCAGGCAGCCAGCTAAAAGAGGCTCAAAGCAGAAAAAATAAGCATTAGGACATCAGCAAAACATTAATAACACCACTCGACATGTGATTTTGTCAGCCATTCCTAAACAAATATTACGTTCATTTTACGAACATATCCAATGCTTATAGTTAGGCCTTAGAACTGTGTAAATCAAAACCGAAAAATGTAGGATGACATGAAATGAATTTATTACCTGCCATTCTTCAAAACCCTGCATACTCTCAGAATTCAACTTCTTAATAGCCACAGCAAGTTTCAGCCCACTTTTAGAAGTCACACTGCCCTTCTCATCAATCCAACCCTTGTAAACCCTCCCAAACCCTCCTTCACCCAGAAGTGTTTCAGGCTTAAAATTCTTAGTAGCATTCTTTAATTCTGCAAAACTAAAAATCCTTAAATTGGGTTTTTCCAATAATTCTCCACTGGGTGATGTTTCCCCAATACTAAGCTGATCTCCAAAGGAAAATCCACTATATCCTGAACTACTGCTTTCTGAATACCCTTTTCCTGATGCATTTCTAGTTGAAATTCCTGTAAATATCAAAAATCAAAATCACATTTATTTAAACAACAAATTTAAAGACCAAAGTTTCAGAAACTAAAAATATCAACAAATGGTAAACACCCACCAAAAAAGATGAAAACTTTATGTATTTAAAATGAAGAATTGCAAAAGAAAGAGATAAAGGGAGTACCTGAAGAAGTATTAGGAGTGAGAATTTCAGAGAGTAAATCTTGGGTGGTGGATCTTCCAAAGCAACCCATCAAATTACCCATTTTAAATTCCGGGGTTTTTTTACTTCAATATTTTGGTTTACATATGAATTTATTCTTCAACCCAGGTCTGCAATGGTAGTAGCTGTCACGGAGGAGAGAGAAAGAAAGGAAGAGAGGGAAAATTGAGAGAAAATGTGTTGAAAATTCTTCCTCTTTCTTCTCAAGTAAGAACAGTATTGCTGTGTAGTTTGTCCAATTCTGAGAATGTGTAGTTAAAATACTCTTCCTGTTTTGTATTCTTGGTCAACTTTAATTTTTATATTAGGTGTATTTTTTGAAGGAGAATTTATTTTAGCATAATTGTCCTTATCAACTCCTAAAAAACAAAAGCATTTGATTGCAAGTAATTCATAGACTGCATTTGAAAATCTATACCACATTATTGCACATCATTGAGAAGAAGTTATTGACGGTATTATGACTTGTATTATAGTTGGTTCTGAGCATGTGTAAAGTGAACGATCATATAGGGTCTTCCAATGAAAAGAACCAAAATTTAATACGAGTAATAAAGAAATTGAAAAATTAGTAAATTAATGGCTTAATTTTACAAACTTGCATCGGGTCATTGTCGTTGTTGGCATTTGTAAACCTACCTCAAACTTGTATTAATTCATTTTAGAAAATGTAAATAATACTTTTTATAAGATAAGAATATGGTAACTGTGAATTTGGTATAGATAGTAGATTGCAACATGGTGGTATAACTACATAGATTGTGATACTTCATGCAATTAATTAAGCCATATGAAATTAAATTAAGCCATATGAAATTAATTTTTCTTTCCACTTTGATTGAAGACGATAAAAACATTTATCTAAATCAAAGTTACAAAAAGAGTCCATTGCCAATTTAATGCATATAGTACAACTATACAAGTGGGGTGCACACATGCAAAAAATAAGATTGTAATAATATGAGTATGTGTAACATAGTAGCCAGGAATCGGGAGGGAAGCTCTAACCATTAAAGCTATCTCTCACTCTCATGAAATTACTTCTTAAGTCTCCTTTTATTTGTGTTAATAAGATAAGTTTTGTTTTGTTTTTTGTTTTTTTTTTTTTCACTTGTTTGTTGGAGGAACCGGATGAAAAAAAAAACCGACGAATGTAATACAAGTGTCTGGCATGACTACGTGAGGTTCTTCAAACATAATCTACCGTAATTACTTAATTGTTTTCCTTCCGACAATCATGGTCCTTTACAAGTTAAGTTTACAACCATTTGTGATGACTAATGATCTATGAGAAACAAACTTAAAAGAGAGAAAATAAAAAGAAAATTTAGGTGAACATTAAGAGGATAAAGACGGATAATCTAACAGTTATTAATATTTTACATGGTCATTTCAACCGTTTATGGAAACTTCATCTTCTTATTGCAGATATCAAGGCTATTTTGTATTCTTTCTCGAGCTTTCAAGCAAGACATATCTATCGAGAAGGGAATCGAGCAATAGATTATGTGTCTCTCTCGACTATTCAACTCTGAATCATCAATCTGTTTCTAGATAGTAAATTTTCTTATTTATTACTCCTTGATAGATTAGGTCAAGGTCTTGTGAGAAGACGTACCTAATCTCTTTCATATATCTTACATTTTAAAAACTAAAAAATAAATGTTAGATGTATGTATCTAATTAAGAGACGGAGGGAATAAATAAATTAAGTGGACAAAGACAACTTGTAGTCTTGGACAACTTGGTAAGTTGGTAGTGTATGTCACAGCTCACAATATAGTACATGCACTGGTACAATTGTAAGGACATTATACTGAAAAGCAAAAAGTTAATAAAAGTCAAAACGGTAACATGATAGTTATGAGATATTTATAAAGTGTAGCTGTGGCAATTAGCAAGTACTGGTATTAAACTCCATGGTTCTAGGCTAAAACTAGGTTATACTATTATGCTTACATTAAGTAGTCTAAACAAGTGGAACATGTATTAATTTTATTTCTTTAAAGCAACAAGACACTAGCAACAATTATTTGACGTTGGATTAAAGTATATTCACATTAATTAAAGTCCAAAAGGCCATAATATAAAAGAGAGAATAATCACAACCACAAGACCAACATAAAAAGCCAAAGATAAGTAAACAGTAAGCTGCTTTACAATTTAAAAATGCTGTCTTGCTTTGCCTGCCCACCTAGGAGGATTAGTCTGGATTAGACAAATATCTTTGGTATATGCAATTTATGAAAACACTGTACTATTCGGATTGTTTCGCCGCTTATAATAGTGTGATCTTTAGATTACCATCTCCGATACTAGTAGCTGTGCACATGAATACATGATCGCCGTAAAAATCGATCGAATCCAATAGAATAAATTCGAGCCACCAGAACTCGACCTACATGGACGTGACCATTACTTAATATACCGTACAACACGGAGCAAAGATAGCAGACAGGATCAATGCTTGACTGGTTTTTCGCTAAATTTAATACAGTTACATGAAAATGCGATATGGGGACGGGTTGAGAGAATATCCACACTTATTGGTCTTATTAAATCTAGAAACGTCACAAAGTCGTAGTCTAAGTCAAGAGACCTCTCAACATTTTCTACAATTCTATGCAAAGTATCCATTACTTCCAGGTCATGTTTAGAAAAAGAGAGGCCTGAAAATTCATCCACCTAAGAGCTACCATGATAACAAATACGTTTAAAAAAATCAAACAGACAAACCCAGTTCAACAACTACTTTTCAAAGTCGCTACTTTAAGATCTAACCCAAGCTATGGGTGTGTTTATTGGGAGTCTTGTGGAGAGTCTTGAGTAAGTCATACCAATAATCTTGCATGAAATTTGGATGAGTCTTGAAGTGAGTCTATAAAAATCAAACTCTACTCAAGACTCACTTGGCATATATTTGTTGACCAACAAAATTATAGAGTACTTTATTTTTCATCCTTAAATTTTTTTAACTGAGTTTGAGGTAGAGTCTTGGAATAAAGTAAAAAAAATATAGAGAGTCTGGAGTGAGTCTAATTTAGTGGAAACCTGATGTGATAGAGTCTGAAGGGGAGTCTTGAGCCTTAGGGATAAACTTCATTGAGCTGGGAACTGTCTAGTAAATAGATATACAACTGTTTAAAGTCAACCCTGACAATAACACGAGCACCATGAAGAAGTATTAGAAAGTAATCGTGTTCATTATTATCTTCACTTTGTAACATACAGAGTGTTTATGCAACTTATCCAATGATCCAAAGCATATATTATACATTTATACTCCAAATATGCATGGCACAACCGATAACCATACATGTATGGCACCACCATGTTTTCATATTAAGAATACCCAATACAACAATGACAATTGATATAGCAAAAGACAGCCATCCATGTACCTGTATAGCTTGTACATTTGCAGCTGTAGTGAAATGCTTTCGAATAAATTTCCAAGGAAAGATGCCGCCAGAAAAATTTAACGAGACAGGCCATAAACACAAATCATAAGTTTTGAAACCTTGTATTATGATGCAGAAAACCTAGAGTAACTGACAATTTTAAGGTCTATACTAACAAACTCGCAAAGTACAATTCTATAAGTGATGATAAAACCAAAACAGTAAACTCAATCTAGCAACTGAAAAAGCAACTGAAACTCTTAACTACAGTATACTCCTCATTGCCTTGATCTTGACTCAGCTCGCCTTGCTTCTTCAGGTGTTGCAGGAAAAAGCTCTACATATCGTGAACCAATTGTCATCTTATCCTTACACATGGCACTCTTAGCCTCGTTAGAGGATGAAAACTCAACATATGCTTCTCCAGTAGCCTTCCCATCTGCTCGGCTTGCTATGTGGATTTTATTCTCTGCCACCTTAAAATCCCCAAAGAATTTCAGTATGTCTGCCTTGGTTACAGAGAAAGGAAGACCACGCATCCTGAGGATCTCAGTGTACTCCAATTGGTCCTTGTCCGCAGACCTCCTGGATCGACCTGGTGGAGAGTTCGGGCGGTCATTGTCATAGATTCCTTCATACTTCACTTCTCCAGCAACAGCATTGTAATAGTCCTGCTTCTTACATCTGAAAACTTCCACATATCTACGACCCATGTTCTGTCGATCTCTGTTCAGGGCAAGGTCAGCCTGAACTGCTGAGGCAAGCACCACAAATGCCTCCCCCGTGAATCTCCCATTCTTGTTGACCAACAAGACATCAACAATGTCCAGGGCAGCAAAGAACTTAAGGATGTCAATATCAGTGCAGTTGTAAGGAAGACCTCTGAGGCGCACCACCGGAAATCCAGAAGGCTGAAAGTTGCTTCCATAGTTGTAAGGCGGGTATCCTGCTTGACCGCTTCCCACTGCGAAGTAGGGATTTGATTCCATCATTCGTTGTCTCTTTGAGCCGACCTCGTACCCGTCCGAAACCCCCCCGCTTCCCAACATTGCCCTTTTCATACCCAACAAAGAAAAAAAATCCCCCACTTAACCTGTTAATATAACCAAACCCAACCCAGAATTTCCTAGGAGTAATGCCTAAAGTCTGAATCCCATAAATAATTTAAAACGCAATTAAAAATAAACAATCTACCCTCTTCAAGAACACAAAAACTCAACTTAAACATGAAATCACCGAACCAAACAATGCCAATCAACAAATTTTTTTTTTAAAAAAAACCAAAATATTTTTACGAAATTAGGGTTAGACGAAAAAACATCTAATCTAATTCAAATTCAAATTCTTTTTACAAATTCGACTCCATATGTTCTTGGATTATAGTGTAATTCGCAATTTCGTATAAAGGGTCAATGATCCAATAAAGGAAATTAATCTACAAATATTCCAGACAAATAGCATCATATAATTAACTTAATATATTTCACGTAAATTAACATAACTGCGAAGCCAAATCAATCAAATTGGACACGAATAAAACCCTAAATCATCAAATTGGACATGAACAAAACCCTAAATCATCAAACCTTAACCAAGAAATCATATCATATAATAATAATAAAATTAAAGATAACGAAGCAGAAAAAAAGGGGGAAATTGAGAGCATACCCTCTAGAAGCGTAGCCAGAGCCATAACCCGAAGCGTAGCCTGATCCGTACATCGTTTTCGTAAACGTTTTCTGGGTCACCCAAACAATGGAGGAGAGAGGATTGAAGAGAGAAAACCCTAACAAAGCTACTGATTGTTTCTTTGGTTTGTAATCTTTTTGGTTTGTACGGGCCACCAGGGTTAGCCTATGCTGTTTTATAATTAGCCCATCAGATCTGGTCGGTTATTGTATTTTCCTCTTTATAACGTCAATACTATGGAGTCACACTACTATAGTACTATGCGAGTTGATAAAAAAAAAAAAAAAAAAAAAAATAATACAAAAAAAAAGGTCGGGTCGGGTCGGATCGGATTAGATCTTAGCATCGAATTCATTTCACACCCAAATGGCTTTTACGGACCGAGTTTGAGTTTTAAACTAAGGGTGGGTTCTATTTAAATGAATTTATCCAAACTTAACTTAATTTATCTGAACTAAACTGAACTTATTTTAGTTATAATTTAAGTTAGATAACTCTTATCATAATTTATTTTTCCTAAATTAAACTTATTTGAACTTATATTCCCTAAACTGAACTTATTAGACCTAAAATAAGTGAAATTAAGGTAAACAGAACAATTCCTAAGTCTTAACCCATTTAGATACAAAAAAATCAGGCATACATTAAGGTGTCGTTTGGGTGACAAATTTTTGGGAGGCATGAAAAAAATTCCACTTTCTACAAAATAGAAGAGCTTACCATTAGTAACTCAAAACACTATTTTGCATTTACTGAAAATTCAATTACATGGGAATATAATTTTTCAAGATTCAACTAAACAAGCTTTAAAAGGTTTTTTTTAAGCAAAAAGAGTTATTTGACCATTTTAAAAAACTATTTGGAATATTAGGTAAATAGCCGAGTCGAAAGAGTGTTTTGGTTGTTTAAACATTGTAAACAACTACTCGTAATAGCTATTATTAGTCAGTTAGTTATAAAAAAAAAATTACTTAACACAATTAATGATGATTAGTTAAATCTGATGTAAACAACTACTATGTACTAACTAATAGCAAATCAAAATACTTAACAACTAATTGTCAAATTTGACCATAAATATTTACTTGAATTAAACATCAAGCTAGACATTTGAGAGTAAAGGGAAGGATAAGAGAATTTTGGAAAGGATAAGAGAATTTTTACCCCAACAATCCTTGAACCTTAAATATATAGAATCTAAAATCTAAAGTAAGAATCTTACTAACAAAGAGGACCTTCCACTAGGGCCATTTGCAGGCAATTGCTACCCCCTTAAAAATTGTACTCCGTAATTAATTAGTTAATGAACATAAATAATCTATTTTTACTTATATATGGCATAGTGAAATTTTTTCCCTGCAGGTGGATGCACGATGCTTCGTGCATCCAGTTTTGTTTTTAAAAAAAAGGCGGAATGAACATATAGTTGTTCAGTAAATAACATTTAGTTGTTTTGTAAAGAACATATATTTATCTTATAAAGAACATCACATATACTAGTAATTGTTTTGTAATGAACATATAGATTTATGTTCTTTATATATATCTAAAGAACATTTGTAATATTAACAAAGAACACGATAATATAATGTAATGAATATTATGTCACAAATAAAAGTACATTATACTAACAATCAAAGAACATGAAGATAAAGAACATGAAGATAATGAACATTATTAAATAGCAAGCATGTTATTTTCACTCTAGGTATATGTTCATTACATTTTAATAGTATGCTCTTTTCATTGTAACTATATAGAAATGTTTATTATGTATCTATAATATATTCATCCGCTTTATAAAATATGAAAAATAACATTTTACTGTATTTTAATGTACATTGTATTATTTAGATCCACAACTTTTTTCTGAATTTGCTAATTTGTTTGCTTTCTTTTTTCAAAATGTAATAATTGGTCGGTTTTCTTCAAGAACTTCATATAGTTTCTCATTGCAACACCAAAACCACATAATTGACAACTTTACACCAAGAACTTGCAAAAAAAAAAACTACCAATCGAACTCAAATTGAACAACTATGCATGTCGAAATTGTACTTACCTTTTGTTTTCGTCAACCATCTTGAACAATTTTGCACCAAGAAGTTTAAATTAACGATTTCTTTATTAAGGTTTGATGAACTTGAAGTAGTTTTCAGTTTTTTCTTTTTTGGGAGAGAAATCTTGCAGAGAGAGAGAGTATAGTTTAAAATGATTTGAAATTACTATATGGTAAAAAAATAATTACTATTTATCTTTTTGCTTTTTTTAAAAAAAAGCTCAATATAACTCGTGTACATTAGAATTGAACAATATGTTATTTTCTACAACTATGAACATTATGATACAACATAATGTACATTCCGCAGCGGATGCACTATGCGGATCGTGCAGGAACCATCCATTGAGGGGCATAGTGATTAGATTTGAGCAATAAGTAAAATATTTAAATCCCGACCCCTCATATTTTCAACCCAGATTCGCCACTGTACATGGTAATTGCCATTGTGGACAAAGTTTTTTTTTTCTTTTTTTTTTAAACGAAACGTGTAGACAAAAATTATTGAATGAGCATTAATGGAGTAACTATTCTGTTATTCACACAAACTGTTACAGAGTTAAAAAAATAAATAAATAATTCCTCTCCACCAAAACAAAACAGTTAAAAAGTAGAATTTGTCTTCATTTTGAAGCGCGAAGAAATAATACGGAGTAGGAGTTCATCAGTTTGAGATCCACTCAAACTTACTGTCATCCCTTTCTCGATCTCTCTACCTTTTCTAGGTAAGTCTTAATTTCCTTTTCTTTTAATTGATTACTTTCTTCTTAATTCAGCTTGTCGATTGCTTTAATTCGATTTGATTATGCGGTTTATTGATGATCCCTTCAATTTGGCGATTTTGATTCTTATATAGTTGTTAAATCGATTTCGAAGGTTGATTGTTGAGTAATTATGTGCTGATTTTGCCAAAATCAAGCCAATTTTGCCGGCTAAGGTTTCAATTTGTTGCTGCATTTATGCAATTTACAAATTAGGGTTTTAAATTACTATTTGGTGGATGATGGATTAGTTTGATGATTTGAAATTAGTTGTATAATGTGATTATATATTACAGATTAGTTTGAGGACTTTGATTTTGTCGCAATTTAACTGTGAAATAAGCTATGATCTGAGATATTAGCTCGAGGAAGATGTACTGTATAATAGTTTGAGGAACTTATGATGCTTCAATTAAAAAAGAAAAAAATAAATAAAGAGGAGAACCATTATCCAGGCGTCTGATATGATCTTAAGTATTCGAGATCAGGTGTGTAATTATCGGGTTTTCAATTAGCTTGGTTACATGACTTACATCTTTAAGTGAGCGGATATGGTTAGGAAAGGGGAAGGGAGAGGAGAGAGGAGAAGAGAACATTTTTGGATTTGTTATTTCGCCGCAATAGTTCTGTCATCTGTGTAATACATAGTTACTACGAGCATTTTCTCTTGTTTATTCTCTTACTATTATAATTATCTGTTGATGTGTGGTATTGGTATGTGGTACTACTACACATTGATTATATCATCTTTGTATGAAATTAATTATATTGTCTGAATGCTAGTTTGATTAACTCTAAGAGAAATATGTTTCCAACTTTCCAAGTAAAGATGTACTGCATATATTTCTATTCTATAATGTTGGCAGTGGAATAAGGAACCTGTTAAATGTGTCCTACTGTCCTGTAAGGTTGGTATTGTAATCGGTTTAGATGCTGATGTACAGATAGAAACTAGAAAGTGTTGTAAATTTAGCTCTATGCTTTCTTCGCTGTACCAACTCTCAAGGAGAGTCTTTTGTTAAAGTATTAGATATTGACTTTGAGATTGGGTATTTCAGAAAATAGGTGGTCAATGTTGAACCAGGAAGGAGATATCAATGGCATGATAGAAACTACAGCAGAGGATGATTTAAAACTGGTTAAACAATTGACCGAAATGAATTCTGATGGATGTCATCCCAGGGAGAATGGGGTCTGTGATCCGGATGACTCTGGCTCTATTAGTACTCATGATCAGCTGGTCCAAATGGTTGTTGAGCTCAAGTTTCAAAATGAGTATTTTATGTCTCAGATCAAGGGCTTGCACATGCAAAATTTAGGCATAGAACTAAATGGATCTTCCCAGCAAAATCAAAAGGCTGAACAAGACAACGCCGCATCAGATAATGTAAAAGCATTACAGGAAAAGATAGAGTTGTTAGATAAAGAACTGCAGGAAGAAAAACAGACTCGGAGTGCTGCAGAAGAGGCACTGAAGCACCTGAGAGAATCATATTCAGAGGCAGATGCTAGAGCCCAAGAGTTCTCAGCTAAGCTTATTGAAGGTCAGTAGTGAGTTATTCCTTTCCTTTCCTTTTTATGAAATTTATGCATTTCTGTGTGACTTAGAAGTTGGCACTTCCCTTCATGTTTTAAAAAAAGAGGTATGACTTTAGATGTGGACTTTCTTATAGAGCACAGAAACCCAAGACAGTATGTCATAGCATGGCAAGTTGGCAACTATTTAATATTTGAAGATAAATTGTCAGATGTGGAAACTATATTAAATTGTTTTTGACTGTTTCTGTTTGTAGCTCAACAAAAGATGGAACAAGAAATCAAAGACCGAGATGATAAATATTCTGAGCTTGATTCCAAGCTTAGCAGGCTTCACAAAAGGGCAAAGCAGCGCATTCAAGATGTGCAGAAGGTAATTTTTTTCTTTTAAATATACTTATAATAAAGGATATGTACCGTATATTCTCAGTAGAGTACTTAACTTTCTTAGTTAATAAATAATTTACTTTAATGGTGTTAAGAGATTAAGAGGGTATTACTGAGATTTTAAATATTGGATGTGGTTGACTGTTTGAAATCGTGATATTGGTTGTGAAACCACTTTTATGGGCAATGGGGATAGTCAGCAAGTTTATTAAAACTTATTTATTTTATAAACTTCATAGATATCTTCTCCCACAATGTTGATTTCTTAATTTTTACATGTTTACATCCTTTTTCTGTCTATATTAAGCTTGGAAAAAGAAGTCGATTATTCCATGGTAGCTCATTATGTCGATTGTAAAGATGAGGATCAAGATTAAGATATTAGGGACAAGATTGATGATTTCACAAGCGTGTACAAACCACAAACAATCATCGAGTAAAAATCTGGAGGTTTGTGGGAATCTAGTTGTGGACAACCTTACCCCTATGCCCCTATTGCTCAGAGACCATTGAGTAGGATTTAGGGAAAATTCAGATAAAGATTACTAGACCACCAATCATTTAATTTGGTCTTATTTAAAACATTCTGTCTTAGAGCTGAACTTGGAATAAAAAAAGGGACAAAGCCTATATGGGCTTTTTTCCTTATAGCAGTAGAAACATGGGGATTTGGTCTCTTTAATTTGTTTTTGACGGGTGGATGCAGCTCTTTTTTTTTTTTTTTAATTTATTTTATTTTATTGAAAATAGCAGCAATAAGTTTCTTGGCGTTTCTTTTCTTCTTCAGGAGTCTGACATTATACTTGTTTATGTTTTTTTTTTTTTAAAAAAATTTTTAGGAAAAGGATGATTTAGAAGCACAGTTCCGTGATGCAAATGATAGAGCTGAACAAGTGTCATCTCAACTTTTGGCACTGCAGCAAGAGCTGGAGCGCACGCGACAACAAGCTAAAGAAGCATTAAAAGCAATTGATGGGGAAAGACAGCAATTAAGAAGTGTGAACAATAAGTAAGATCTTTCTTTAAATAAAATAAATTAATAAAACAATAAGTGAGATTAAGATCTTTCTCAAAAATTTTGGGCCAACTATATTATAAAATTCTAGATATATATATGATATATTCTGGGAACCTGACCTTTGAAATCCTGTGAAGAAGTATCTACTATTAGCCTCTGTTTCTTTTTATTCAGGCATCATATTACCCATTTAGAAATTCCATATGTAAAAGTATAAAACCTAAACCTTAATTTTATAATTTCACGAATGCCTTTCATGTACAAGTTAATGAGGCGGATGTGTAACTTATAATTTAATCTCATATGGAAGCTTTTTCTTTGAAGAATTTCCTTGGTTTTTCATCTGGTGTGGTCTGGTGAAGGGTAAGAAAACATAGAGTTGGACCTCCAAATACCTTAGTAGATTGTTGCTCTACATAGATGTTTATATCCAAGGAAACAAAATGGGTTATCTGAAATGGGATGGGCTTAATTGTCTTCCCCACTTTATTTGTTTGCTGTGAAACAATTACTATTTTATCTTTGCTTGTATAAAATTATTGAATTGACAAGTTACTACATGCAGGCTTCGAGATAACATTGAAGAGCTCCGTCATTCATTGGAACCCAAGGAACATGCTCTTGAGGCACTGCAACAGTCACTTTTGGAGAAGGAACAGGTATATCCGTATATGTTTAAATTTCTCAGGTTGACCAGTTCTTAGCTTCACTTGTACAGAGATGCATTTTTGTTGAAATGCAAATCAGTGTATCTCTGTGCCCTAATATGCTCAATGATTTAGAGCTCAATTGCTTAGATGTTAGCTTGATCATCTGTAACTCCATTTTCTGCAGCCTTATCGTCAATGCATGATTTCTATGCACGAATCTCAACATAGTTGGGTCCATTCTCAGGTCAATTGTAGGATTAACGTTTAACAGTAGGGTTCTCAATCCTGTTATGAACTTTTGACTTGCTCACTGATTTGGTGTTATGTTTGTAATCTTTTAGTAGTCATCTTTCTATCAATAAACTGTAATAAATTGGTGTGTAACTGTTGCTAGCGGTTTTTGCTTGTAGTCTTGTATCATGGTCAAGCTGACAATTCCACATTGTTCCTCCTAGCTTTTTGGTTGATAAGGCTGAAAATCTTTGAAGCATCTGCTAATTTATTTATTGAATTGTACTCTTGTAGATGTTGGAAAACATGAAAGTATTATTACAAGCTGCTGAGGAAAAACGGCAAGCTTCCATGGCTGAGCTCTCATCCAAAAATCAAAAGGTGAATCTAGTGTGGAATTTCTTTGATATGTCACACTTACTTTAGGCCATATTGATGTTTCTTAGAATTCCCTTACTTTATAATATCTATATTTTAGTGCTACTCAGATATTTTTCGTTGATCTGATTCTATTTAGCATGTAGAAAGTTTGGAAATGCAACTTGCTGAAGCAACATCTGATCTTAAGAAGGCTGCAGAAACTGTCTCTAGTTTACAGGTAAAATTTTGTTTAAAATGAGCTCCTAATTATTACTTGTCTATGGTCTTGTGGAAAGTTCAAAGGTTGAGAATCTATTTGGCACTCCCTAGAATGATAAATATGAATATTTGCCATTACTTATTGGTTTTCCAGCTTTCTAACCCAATTTTTACCGAAATGTAAAGGACTATATGTATTGGCTGATATGGAGCTGATACACCAGGGATTTAAAATCTCAGATGCAACCGCAATAGCATTAATGATCTAACTTTTGCAGGCTTTGCTCTCAATATAACAGTTGGAGTAGGGTAAAAAACCTTAAAAAATGTGGTGAGCCTAATGACATAAGAAGATAATTTATAGTCTGGAATTTCTGGATAAAACTAATTCAAGTCCAACACAGGTGTAAGGGAGATTGATATGGACAAAATGACCTTTTTAACTTGATCATCCCACAACTAGGGTTGAAATGTCTAAAAGGCGGGTGGTGGCCTTCCCCTTCTCTTTCCAAACCCTTCGCAACGTCCTATGTTGATGATTAGTTAGTGAAACAACAACGTCCTACGGAATATATTGATCGATCAATCATTCAATCAAAGCCTTAATCCATAAGTGGGGTTGGCTACATGAACCTAAAGTGATTATTCTAGTCATCCACAAAAAACTTACTCCTCCATCCCTTATGATCAAATACCTTATTCTCATGCAAATCCATATGCTTCATATCCTTCCTAACTCCTTCTGACCAAGTCATTTTCAGTCTCTCTACCTCAATCAACCTCTTCGTGATCCCACTCTTCCACTCTTCGTAACGGTGCACCCTTGGGTCTCCGTCTTACATGCCTGAACCAATGTAGGCGATTTTCTTTTAGTTTGTCTGCAATGCTTGCGACACCCATTTTCTTGCGAATAACTTCTATGGAGTATCATGATGTATATAGAAAACAATAATACATAAAGTTTGTTCCCGATTATCAGTTTATCACATCATCAAATACTCTTTATCCCATATTTCACCCTTTCTCATATGGCTATTCGATTTCTGTCCTTCCACCCCCCCCCCTTTTTCTACTTGAGACCATTTAGTTCTCAGTTCCTGGCACTAGTGACCAATTTTGGGGTTTACGCTTTAATTGTACATGTCAAAATACTAAACTATAAAGGTAAAGAATTTTCCTCTCTTTTTTGAAATTAGTAAGATACTAAAATCTTATATGTAGGCAGAGATTTTTTTAATTGTCAATTTTGGAATATGAATACTAAGAAGTTATGCTTTGATTACAAGTCTATATTGCTGAAACATAAGTTAAACTGCAATTGATAAAAGTAATATATTTATAAAAATCATGCGATTGAATTTCATTGTAAAAACTTTTAAAGTTATATTTTTGCCCCCCCCCCCCCCAAAAAAAAAAAAAAAAAAAAAAATCCATCAAGTATTCAAGTTCCACCAATATAGATGAATAACTTGACACTTCAGTGAAATAAGCTTCTGTAATACATGACTTTTTCCCTCAATTGGTATTGCATGTGATTTAAAAATCCTTTAAAGTGAAGGAAGAGTTTTAAGCCATGTATTTGTTGTTGTTGTAATGTCTGGCAATTAACTTTCCAGGCAGTTGTTGCTGAAAAGGAATCAAGAATAGCTGAAATGGACACTACTACTTCTGGCGAAGCAGCTAGACTGAAAGCTGTCATCGAGTCTGTTAAAGGAGAACTTGTTCATCAAAAGCACGAACATGTATGTATTTCTTGTAAATTTTAAGTTGTACACCATCTATTGTATGCCTTTAGGCTCAATTACGCCAGTGAATGATTGGTATACACACTGAAAATTAAGAAGCTGCTGTACAGGTTGAATTATCTTATGTTTAGTCTGATGGTAGAATCTTGGTTAGTGATTGACAACACAATGATCATGTTCAGGAACCGCATTAGGTTTCTCTTATTTGATTTGTCTTGCAATGTAATTTGTTGGCATGATCTTTTTCGTGGTAGAGGACATATACCTCTTGCTTCCTGTTATGTTTCCCTGTTTTTGTAAAAAAGGTGTACCTCATGATATCTTTTGACACTCTTTTTCTGTAAAGATTTTTTGGACCCTGTAAAGTGGTTTCTACACTCTCCTTGTTGGTTTTGCATTGTTGTGTTGCGTTTAAGCTATGCACTTAATGTTATTAGTTGTCAAAGAGTTTCACTGTAGTGTTTTTTTTTTTTTTTTTTTTTTTTTGTTTTTTTTTGAGAAATAGTTTCACTGTAGTTTGTAAAGCTTTTGTGTAAGATATTGCATTCTGGGATAATAATTATCTAGATCTGTTTTAAGAGATTTCTTAAATTTCCAATTTTTTTTTCCTTCGATTCTTGCACTGTCTCTAAGACTTTTTTAATGCTGCCATCCAATTGGATTGTCGTTATGAATGCAGGAGAAAGAGAAAGAGAGCTGGGAAGCAACCTGTGAAGCCCTCAAAGCGAAGTTAGAGACTGCTGAGAGTAGCCGCGTGCGAGCAGAAATTGCGACTGCTAAAATTAAAAGTAAAAATTAATCAATAAAAGCACACTTCTTATTGCATGACACCTCCAATTACAATCCTTTAAAGAAAAGCTTGACCGCTTGAGTTCCTGAAGCATCCCTGTTTTTCTGTTTTTCAAGGTCAGCTTGAATTGCAGTTGTCTGAACAAGCTCAGGTGCTCAATGATAAAAATGCAGAACTGGCAGCCTCCAGAGAACAGGTACCAACTACCACTATTTATCTTTTACATGCCATAGTAAGGCTGGCGTGTTTCGCTTTTTGTCTATAATTGCTGCATGCTTTGACTCTCGTTTAACTGTTGAGTTATAAAGAACCTTACATTCACCTTTAAAAATGGAGTCATATGAATTTTATGATCATGGGCGAATCACCTTTGTATTTGTACTTTAGCTAAGATTAAATATTCTCCTGTTGTTGTGAAATCTGGATTTGTAAGGTTGGATGGTCTTTTCTAATTTTTCATTTGAAATAAGGACATTTTTTAGAATTACATGGTTTAGATGTATATAATCTCTTTTGAACTTTAGTTGTGATGTTTAGATTGTGGACCGCAATAATTCATTTGTAATGTATGATTAGGCATATGGTTACCTGTTGAAGTTTCTTGTCTCAAAGTACAAAAAAGCTGTTTTTCCCCTGTCCGCTTAGCTAATCTGCATTTGATTTTGAAGCTTGGATCGTAGTTGTACATTTATTACGACATTACAATTTGTGTTATCATTACCACCTGCTCCATTGTTCCATTTAATTATTCATGATTTATTGTAATATTTTTAAATTTGTAGTCTCCCTCTTTTTGACTGATGTCTTGATGCTTTTACATTGTAAATTTGCAGTTGCAATCTGTTTAAGTGTTTTAATCGCATGTTTATCATGTCTTTGTAGATTAGTCGACTAGAAGCTGAATTTTCTTCCTACAAACTCCGTGCTCACTCCCTTCTTCAGAAGAAGGATGCAGAGCTAGCAGCAGCCAATGACAATGAGCAAATCAAAGCTCTAGAGGAAGCATTGAAAGTACATAATCTTATCAGAATATCAATTTCCTTTATCGTCCTCTTCATTTGACTCCCTTGCACTCCTTCCTTTCTAGTTTATTATGAACGGTGGTACAGTTGGATCGTTGTGTACTACAAATAGGGTCATGTACCTTGTTGCTTAATGTGAAATACTTTGAATATTTTTCAGTAACCTGTGTGGTCCTTTGCCGTACAGGAAGCTGAGAACGAAATATCACTGGTCTCTACAGAAAGGGATAAGGTTGTCATTGAGCTTCAAGCTTCTTTGGCTAAATATGATAAGGAACTTTCAGCAAGGTACTAATTTTTGTTATTATTGCTGTTGTCGTCATGTTGTGACTAAGCTCTCTTTATTGATTACTTTTGTTTATGATAATATATGCCTTCTGAGTTATTTTGTTGTGAAGTTTAGTGGTTTATTTCAAATACTAAAAAGGTACTAAAGTTATTCTAAAGAGTATACACAATATAAATATCAAGAGTAGTAAACTGAAGATATCTTTTCCAATTGAATGTAATGGTGAGCAAAAACTTAGATGGCTGTTAGCTAGATATTAAATATTAGTATTGGTTATCATGATATATCTTTTTTTGGAATCGGCAACATATGCCAGGACCATAAAGTTTACATTTAATCAAATACTCCTTTAATGGCTATTGCTTAATGCTATGTTACTCGGACTCGGGTACCCATGTCCGACACGGGTATGTGTCCAAGTATCCGACTCGGCTATTTTGTGAAAAAATTCTATGATTTTGAACTAAAATGAAGTGTCCAAGTGCCATACCCATGTCCGAGTGTCGAGGGTCCGACACTGGTACTTGAGGTAAACCGAAGAGTCCGAGTAACATAGGCTTAATGTCTTTATGTGTCTACATTCCAGGGACGCTGCTCTTAAGAATGCTGAGCAGCAGACAAAGAACTTAGAATCAAAGCTTGATTCTCAGGCTTTACAGTTTCAATTAGAGAAAGGTGCTTGGGAGTTGAACCTACGGAATTTGGAAGAAACATGGCGGGGTATGTTTTTAATGCTTGCTCCCACTGTAAATTTATCAATGCAAGATTACTTTTAACTTACAAAATTACAGGAAAGTATGAAGCCATGAAAGCGGAAAACGAGGCATCCAGTGCGCCAGATATGCAAAAAGAAGTCGAAGAGCTCAGACGTGATTATAGAAAATTGAAAGTATGTTTTGTTGCTGGTTGTCTTGTCATTGAATGATTTACTGCATAGTGCATACTTCACTGGATAATTATACTCCCTGTTTGTAGGAAGAGCATGATTCATTTCGTGATCTTGCTGATAAAATGCTTGAGGATAAAGACAAAGAGATTTCAAGGCTTTTGAACAACAATAATAAACTGCAGCGGTCTTTGGAACACAAAGTATGTACTGATTAAGTTTACTCGCTGCTGTTATTTGGGCTTGGATTATAACTGCAACCCATTACCCATTATTTGTAGTCGATTATACTTTATTCAAATTGTTTATTCTTTTCAGGAAGGTGGTGGTGATACTCAAGGGAAAGGTACGCACATAAAGTTAATAAGTTATAACTTATTATCAAAAGATGCAATTTTTCAGCATGATTGCTTATTCTTCATATATTGTATCAGCTTCACATAAACAAGATACCTTGAGCACTCCCTCTGCAGAGCAGCAAATTCTGGTATTCTTTTATACATTCCTTCTCTTTTCCTGCTATAGTATGAATTGTATCTGCTTTAGAAGCAAATAATCAGTTGATAGTAACTTAAACATCCTGATAAGTGTTTGTGTATAACTGAGGTTTTCAAATTTCAATAGATGATAATCACTTACATTAGCTCTGTTTTAGATGCATACACGATTTTACGTGCATACTTTTGTCAGTGTTTTAATATTAGTGTCATCTTCTAACCTTTTCGTCTTTAGCTTGGTTCCTAGTATGTTAAACATTACTAAATGGAAGTAGAAGAGCGCTTTAGTGATAATTTCAATGTATGCGTGTTGCTTTTTCTACTTTCCTACAGGCTGCAGTTATGTTGAATTGAAAATTTTGTTGCGTTTGTGTAGAGTGGTTAGGAAATTGATTTTGCTAATTCTCTGTTTTCTCTTACAAGATGTTGGCAAGGCAGCAAGCCCAAAGAGAAGAAGAGTTATCTCAGTCTCAGCGCCACATCCTAGCTCTTCAAGTGGGTAAAGTTTCATCATGAACAAATTAAATTTAAAATACCACTTGTTCTGATTTTCTTTTTCTTCTATACTAGGAGGAAATTGAGGAGCTTGAGCGTGAAAATCGGCTTCACAACCAACAGGTAGGTGCCTTGATCAACTTGATCCCCTTAGCGGCTGGACTTGTCTCCCAGTGATTTAATGAGACTAGTGCAGTTCTCTTTGTGGGGTGAGGAGGAGGGAGTTTAATCAGTTTTATTGATGTTCAACAAACTATCGAGTACATTGCAATTAGTAATTTACAATTTTTTCCCCTTATTAACGCATTTGGTTCGTATGATTTCTTATTGATGGATTAGATTCTGATCCAAAACAGTAAAACCATCTGTAGCTCTTAATTGGTCATGGATGGTTAATTCCTAGCTCATTTACATTTATCTTGTTAAGTTTCTCAACGACCACATGGGTGGATTCATCACTCTTCTGTGTTCATTACATCTTTGATACTGTTATTTCTTCCAAAATTGAAGTTCAGCTGTTTGTGTGTTATGACTATTATCTATAATATGACACTTTTGACCCAATTACTCAGAAGCTTCTTTCTAGCTGGTATTAGGCTGTGATGTAGTTTGAGAAAATTGCTTTTCAGTGAAAGCCTGAATCCCTAATAACTTGTGCTTGCAGGTTGACATGTTGAAGGAGGAACTACGAAGTATGGATAGAGCGCGAAAGAGGGAAGGGGTGGATATGACCTACCTTAAAAATGTTGTCTTGAAGCTTCTTGAAACTGGTAAATGCTTAAGGTGTAGTTTAGATATTGAAACATCTAGGGTTCTATTTCACGGCAGGCTTGAATTATTAATTGGTATTGATGAGGTAATTATAGCATAACCTTGTTACTTTTCTCTTGCATAGGTGAGGTGGAAGCATTACTACCAGTAATTGCAATGCTTCTGCAATTCAGTCCTGATGAGGTAATTACATCTATTTACCTAGTTAAATAAATTCTATCTTGAATAGTGTGTTTTTGCTGCCTTGACTCGTATGAAAGGTGAAGGTGATTTTTGCTGCTTGTTTGCTTTTTAAATGTATGAATCCATCGGTCTGTCCTAACGTCCCTATGTGTGTTTATGACTTTATGTATTATGTATATTGTAATGTATATGCATGTACATATTTGGCCATGTTGAGTTATATTTAAGTTGTGATGTATATAAGGCGCAACTTGTAACAGATTATAAAATCTTAATGGTCACTTGTTTTAAGCTTATAGCAGTCATTGTTTTTCTGCTTTTCTCTTTCTGCAGTCCGCTTCTTTTCCGTGTTAAAGTCTTTCATATTGTTGATGCTTTTGACAATTTGATCATTAGGCCATGTTCTACCCTTTGTATATCTGCATCTTTGATATGATGCTCTGCAGAAAGAAAAATATTTGGATTGAAAACTATGTAGAAGTCTTTTTTTTTTTTTTTACTTGTTTCTGCTCTATACCGCTTGTAGGTCCAGAAGTGTCAACAAGTTTATCGCAGTTATGCGGAAGCATCACCTAGCTTGGAAAATGATGTACCAAGTCGCTCACTTTTCTCTAGATTCTCATTTGTCTGACTAGCTGATTTTTAATCCAAAGAGACTTCTGGCCGTGAACTTCACTTACAGAGAATCTATTAAGCAGGACACTGAGCTGCAAATTTTTGTATTTTTTAATTTTATTATGTACATCGTCTTTCTGTAACATCAAAATTCTTAATCATTATTGCCATTGCATATGGAAACTTACTGTTAAAAAGAACAACTGATTTTTATACAATATTCAAAGGGAATGGAGAATACATCACTACATTATAGCTTTTCTTTGCAAGATAATTTCTTCTCCTCTTATAGTTACTGTAAAAAAATTGCTTGTATTTGGGATATATAAGTTAATTTTTTTTTTTCAGGAACATACAAGTATTACTTAATTTTTGTTGGAATCAGGCCAAATTAAAAAGAAATGTTTTGTTTATTAGTAGGAAAAAAAATCAGATCAGATATTGGAGTAACGCTTAGAACAAAAGAAAAATGCAAACCACTCAGTCGATCACTGAGTCCATTCTTACAGCAAACAAGTTAAAAGAGCAATGATCCTTGACATCTTTGATTTGCTTGCCTAAGAAAAACGAGATATGAAAAACTCATGTTATAATGCTTTCCAAAGAGCCTGTGTTTTGCACGCCAAAGACTCACGAGGATGTAAAAAACTCAAAACACTAATTCTGCTATACAACCACTCGGAAACAATCTGAAGATTAAAGACACCAAAATTGAGTCCAAACCAAAAGAAAAAGTCTATTTAGCAGGAGACAATATGTCATAGCCACCATTAACTAACAAATAAATATTGATTAAGAGCACTATTCACCCAAGTTAGTAACATAGCATCGTAGCTGTAACACAATTAGTAGACTCAAATCACAACAAAATCAAAGGAAAGATTTGACTGCTATTGTAATATGTTGTATCATAATCGGAAGTTGTTTTTCACAAGAGTATGATGCATCAAAGAAATCTGGCACCTTTACAGAGATAATCCTATTAACAATTAAGTAATGGTCAAACAGATGTATCTCCAGAATCCAAGAAAGCATTGATGATTTGTTCTTGTGAAAAGTCAGTAAAGTAACCCTTACCAGCAACCATACCTTCTTCCTGTGCAAGGCGCTCAACTTCAATTTGAACTTGATGTCCTCCAACCTTGTTCGGTTCCAATAGATTGCAAGCAACCTCAATGACTTCCTCTCCATGAGAAAGTGCCATAGCTTGAACTGATGGAAGTCCACCTCCTCTTTCACTAACGAGTTTGGCAATTCTACGAACAGCTGATAGATTGGTGGAAAAGATAGGGACGTTGTAGTTATCTACCCATCTTGTACTCCCTATAACAACAATGCCCTTTGATAGGTCAGCTTGATTTGGCCCTTCATCTGGATGCAAAGGTAAAGTCTCTGAGCTCAGCCCTCCCGCCCAGATATTTCCATTAATGTTAGGCCTAAAGTAGCCAAGTTCTCTTCTTACTGAATCAAGAGTTTGTCCTTTTTCATGTGCTGCTCCATATAAGAAGGTAGGAACTGCAGCTTTCAAATAAAAATTGCATAAGAGTGAAATAATAGTCCAGATAAGCTTTAACCAAATAATAGTCCTCTACTTGTGGGGAAGAAACTGCTAGCTGTGTATTAAAGCTGAAAATTGCAAAATCTTGGTGATTGCCAGTTTTGACACCAAAGGCAGCCTTAAGCATTAGTTACTATCAGTCACATAAGTCGCACAAATACCAGAGTAACACTAAAGTCATAGGAGTCTCTTTTAATATGCAAAGAGCGTGCATAAATTCAGATTTCACATATCCATAGAGCTTCCATTCAAGATAAAATACATCTAGGATACAACAGCATGTCCAAGGTGCTTGAAAATCATCACGATTATACTAAAAGAAGAGGCTTGAGTGGCACCCATCTCTTAATTGATCACCCAAAAAAAATATGATCCATAACCATGTTCTCTAGAAAGATACAGTTTCTTTCACTGTCAGATGAATCTTGCTTAAAACAATAATACTCCCTCTGTCCCCTTCCATAGCTTCAATTCCCACTTTAAGATGTCCTAAATTGTCCACTTTTTCCACAACATCATCCATACCCAAATGTTTCTTTGAGAAATAGTATAGTGCTGGACAAAAAATGAGGAGCAAGGATGATGATTGAATACACAGCTTATGAGGTTTGAATATAGAACGAATATCTGAAAGGTACCTTAAGACTCCCAACTTTCCAAAAACATAAAGCATAACTAGACAACAGTGAGGCGCCACCATTTTAAGCTGCTTATCAATAGGACGACAACAAAAACAGCTGCTATACAATATTATAACGTGAATATTATGACAATCTTTGCATCAAGACTCACAATTGGTTCTGTTTTCTACTCAAAACATTAAAGTGAATCCTCCAAATCTTAGTTCTAGGTTATTAAGCTAGATGAAGTAAACAAACCTTCAAGCTTGGTGCCAACATCTTTGGCCAAGGACCTTGCAATATTAGCTGTCTGCTCCAAAGAAGTACTGGCCAATGGGTGAAAACAGATGTGATCAACAACTCCCAGACGAGGATGGCTTCCACTGTGCATATTAAAGTCAATTGCTTTCAAAGCAGTGCTAACCATTGCAAAAGCAGCATCTTTTAGAGGGCAAAGATCCAATGACGGCTTTGGAGGTAGCTTAGAGACAAGAGTGTAGCCAACTCTGTTATAAGTTACATCTTCAAATTTATTGACAACTTTAGTATCATGCACAAGCTTGGCTACTCGTTCAATAGACTCAAGGGCAGCTTTGTTGCGGCTTTCAGATATGTATAGTTTGCAACAAGCCAGTATCATATTTTTCATTTACTTCTTTCCCACTTATCTTCCCAATCTACAGGAAAGATAGAATACCAATGTTAGCTTTGCAACTACAATATAAAGATCCTGATCAAATTCTAGAAAGGACCACAAACTCAGGATCTATCTTTATCAACATATTTCATCTCATGTAGCTCTGGCTTAAAAATAACAGCATCAGCAACTAAGTTTTTCTGCTAAATCAAAGTAAATCTTTAAATTGTAAAAAATCGATCAAATAGATGATATCCACACAATTTTTACACTAGCATTGAACTCTAGCATAGTAGCATGAAGTGTCAAATATTCAGGACACCTCTGCTATCCCAAGCAAAAGAAAGGCAAATAGATAACATGTGCAGTCAACGACCAAAAGTAGTTGTGAATAGATAAGCCAAGATGATGGAATGTTGTTTAAACTTTAAGGATATATCCAATGCAACATACATATCCTGCATCAAGCTAAATGATCAAGCATAAGCAAGAAAAAAGTGACTCCACATCCTATGACTCATAGAAATGACATTGCTGATTGCCCAGGTGTAATTATCTCATTCAATTGAACACCCAGAGGTTAAATTTCAAATCACAGGAAAGATTTGAACTCATCTTCACCAAAAGCAGTTAAAATTCAATTAAAAAAAAAACAACTAACATGAGAATTTCCCAATCCAAATACCAATAAAAAATGGTGAATATATTGAGAGACGAAGTCTGCATACAAAAGTTCTCATGTATAGATTCATTGAATTAAACTTTCTTACATGTTTATGAGTATCAAACCACACAAAGTATTCTTCGCCATGTGCTTCTAAATAAATACTTCTTATCAACTTAAGATAAGCATCTTCTACAATTTCAAAGCAATACAAAAATATATTTAATTTTCCTAAGATAACAAAGTCATGGCCCTAATGCTACAAGGGTAACAGTAAGACAGCCATCATAAACAAAACTGAGAAGAAAATCTTAACTCCATACTGCATCTACTGTAGCCGTCAACCAAGAATACCTTGCTCATGCCCAAAACTCAATAATCATGAGAATCGGACTTTTTAGGGTATCCCTCGTATTCCAATTTAACCCCTAAAGAAGCACAAGTGGCCCTAAACTTCAACCTAAGCTCTTTTAAAATGTCATCTTTGCTCTCATCTTCATGATCCATAAATGGGTACTTCTCAAGCAACTCCTGAATTTGATGGATACTCTTCTTTACCCGAGAAGAGAAGAAGTTGGGTTCAACCCGAATCACAGAGGTCCAAACATCAACAAGACCACGGTAAAACCCGAGCTCTTCACCAGCCTCAAACCCATGTTTAAGACCCACTTCATAGCCTTCTTGCTTGCCCAAGGTAAGATCATCCCTATACCCATCTTTGTAGCCTTCTTCGATGTGAGATTCTTCCAAGTTTATAGAGGAACCAAAAATATCTTCATCATTTAGGTTATCATTGCTCCGAATTTCAGGTTTTGGAGGTTCGGTTTGTGGGGAATCGATACAAGAATCAAATATATCCATGGGATTTATGAGAAGAATAGAAATTAGTGAGAGATAAAAGAAGGGTACCTGTTAGATCGAGGATTTAAACCTGTACAACAAAGATAATCACATAATAATTAATAAACATTTACACTCTAGATAATTTAACCAAATTAACAAGGAAATTACAAAACTTTTGAGTAATTAATTGATTAAAAATTATCTATTATGATGCAGAATACCATGAATAATGCTAACTATAAAAGCCATGAATTCATAGCTATATTCAATTGATGATGCTAATTATTTATCATAACATGCTAACAATCAAGGGTTTTGCAACATAAAAAAAACCAAATTTGACTCAATTATCAAATCAAATTTTTCTCAATTAAGAATATGAATAGCAAAATTCTAGCAATTTAGTATCTAAATTATAACCAATAATGGTTTTACCAAAGAAGAGAAGAGAAAAATCAATATATTTGAAGCATAAAATAAATTATTTCCAAAAATGACATCAAAATTTCATTTTTTTTTAAAAAAGTATAAATCTAACCTGAAAATCAGCGGAATTTCAGATCACAGTCTTACTTCATCGTTCAGGTGTCGTCCGATAAACCTAAGCTAAGAAGCTGCTTTCTATGGAGGAGGGAACGCTAAGAAGCCGCTTCAATTGAGTGTACAAGAGAAATAAATAAAGTGAAAAAAAAAAACAAAAACTGACGTGGCATTAAGGAGGGCAAAATCGTAAAATACTGTTCAATCGATACAGTACCATTTTTTTTTTTTTTTTTTCTAAGATCCAAAAACGAAATTAATCCTCAAAATTCCTGTAAAAACAACAATAAATACAATGAAATGACGGAAATAACTCTCTAGTTAACAACTTTTAAAAGGGGAAAAAGCAGTGGTCTTTAGTTAACAACTTTTAAAAAGCAAATCTGATTTGTATCTCTTTAATCCTAAGCCAAATATTATGAGCATCAACTCTTGTTTAAGACACTTTGTGATTAATAAGCACCAAATGGGAATCGATCACTAAATCAATTTAGTAACTTACTTGGCCATCAGCTGTTGTAATGACCAAAACTCATCGAACATAATTTGATGGATCAATCTTGAATATGATACCAAGAATGTACTATTGTAGTTAGTTCATCGAACTAATTTTTGCTCTTTTGTAAGGAGTACTTGTGAAGAGTTTAGGGAACACTGTAAATGAATGTTGCTGTAATTCCAAAGTAGTCCCTAATTCTCCTGCTAAATTCACAGTATTATTATTATTCTAAACCAGGCGTTAACGACCACAGACCAGTCAGTCCATCAGCATGGCAGACAAGACAGGGTTAAAAACTTTCTGATTTTCCATTTCTCTAAAAAATACAAAAAGTTCTACATTATTTTAGGCAAGGTTTTCCATTCTTAGATGTTATTGCCACTCGATTTAAAGCTTTGCCTCCAAACCACCACCCTCCTGACAAAATAATTTCAAACATACACAAAGTGACAAAGGTCACAAGCATTATACAAAAAGCTCAAGGTGCATTGAATCAATGATCAATATATGCCTCATCAAAGCAAGGAGCCTTAGTGCACTTTCGGTGCACCTCTCCTATGCCTCTAGGCCAATAAGAGAGCTTGACCCCTATCGCCTCGAGCCTTCTTATCAATGGTCATAACTCACAACAACTGATCACAGTAATCTTAAGCATAACATAAAAAAATAGGAATGAGCAGAACACTTCCCAGTAATAATAGTAATAGTAATTCTCATTAAGTTGTGCATATTTCATAGACTGCATACAATGTGATACTCCTATTATCTAATGAGCTGCATAGCAGTAAAACACTTATTCATCCACTAAAAGGCTCTTGTAATTTGGCCATACAATACTCAAAAACAAAACTTTCTTCTACTACTACTAATATACTTCATGATTATGATTATGAAGTAACAAGCAACAAACATAACAAACCAGGTAAAAAAATTAAACTGAGAGAAACAAACACTCAGATATTCTGCTGCAAGAAAGTGCCAAAATTAGACCAAACCATTCAAAAAAAAATCTAAGCATGTTTAGCTTGGAATTCCTTCATAAAAGCAACCAACTTTTGAACACCAGCCAAAGGCATAGCATTATAGATTGAAGCTCTCATCCCTCCAACAGACCTATGACCTTTAAGAGCCACCATCTTCTCCTTAGCAGCCTCCTTAATAAACTCGGGTTCGAGCTCCGATTTTTCAAGAGTAAAGGGTACATTCATCAATGACCTCACTGATTTCTCAACTGGGCACTTGTAAAACCCATTGCTCTCATCAATTGCATCATACAGTACCTGTGCCTTAGCCTTGTTCTTCTTCTCAACCTCAACTAACCCACCTTGGTTCAACAAATCCTCAAAAACCAACCCACACATGTAAATTCCATAACAAGGGGGAGTATTATAAAGTGACTTATTATCAGCATGAATCTTATAATCCAACATAATTGGGGTAATTTTCTGGGCTTTTCCAATCAAATCATTCCTAACAATAACAATTGTAACCCCAGATGGACCAACATTTTTCTGAGCACCAGCATAAATAAGCCCAAATTTGGTTACATCAACAGGTTTAGAGCAAAAATTAGAAGACATATCAGCAACCAAAAACCCATTTGGATTAGCAGGAACAGGGTAATCTTTAAACTCAACACCATAAATAGTTTCATTGGCGCAAATATGCAAATACCTTGCGTGCGAGTTTTGCTCAAACTCAGACCCATCAAAATTAGGGATTCTTGTATAATTATCAGATTTCCCAGACCAAATGGTGGATGATTTAGCATACTTGACAGCCTCTTTAGCAGCTTTATCTCCCCAAGACCCAGTAACAAGGTAATCAACAGCATCATCAGAGTTGCAGAGATTCAAAGGAATGGCGGAGAATTGGGTTGAAGCACCACCTTGAAGAAAGAGAACGGTGTAATCAGACGGAATATTCAAAAGGGTACGTAGATCTGCCTCTGCTTTTTCGATAATGGAGGTGAATTCCTTCCCACGGTGGCTCATCTCCATAACACTCATGCCGGAACCTCGCCAGTTAAGGAGCTCTGATTGCGCTTTTTGGAGGACATTTTCAGGGAGGACGGCGGGTCCGGCGGCGAAGTTGAAGACGCGGTCTTCGGATCGGTGGTTCGCCGGAGATTTGGTGGTGGGTGTGGTGGTTGTTGCGGCGGTGCATGTGATCTTGGAAATGGGGGTTCGGATCTTGAAATTGAAGGGGAGGAAATGGGTTTGTTGGTGGGTTTTTGTTGGAGTGAAAGGGGTTTTGAGGAAAAGGGTTGTTTGTGTGTTGCAGGTGGCTGCCATTGTTATGGTATCGAAGGTGTTGCAGAGAGAAAGAGGAGAGAGAAAGTGAGGAAAGTTGGTGGGAGAAAGAGGGAGGCAAAAGTGTGGGAAAGTCTGGGCTTTATGCGTAGGTAAAAGGGGAGGCTGCGCTTTTGTTGGGGTAAAGCCCACCTTTGCTTGGGTTAAAAGTTATAGATTGTAATTAGAGTAAGTAATCCCCACCTAATCATCCCACTAATGATCCAATGAGTCCATTTTTTGGTATTACTTTAATACTTTGTCCATTTTATTAATATTTTTTTGGTGTTTAAAGAGTTATAAGGGCAGATGATGAGAATGAAACCCGAGTTATTGAGAGGGAACCCCGACCTGACTCAAATAGCCCAACATCGACCCAATTTGACCCATATATCATATCTTGTAATGACCGATCCAAAATTTTACCCGGACTCGACTCGCTAACCCAAATTGATAAGTCTTGAATAGGATCATATATATTAGAGGTGATCATTGGGCAGGTCGAGCCGAGTTAGGTCCGGGCCGACGCTTGAAAATATACCCACTTCTCGGGTCGGGCCGAAATTTTTGTGTCCAAAGTGGTCAGGCCATGCGGGCTTTGCGGGGCGGGCATTAAAAATCAACTAAATTTGAAAAAAAAAACACATATTCCCAAACCTCCCCCCCCCCCCCCCAAAACAAATATTTGGGCTAGCCCGAGTCGATTTCGGGATGAAAAATTCTGCCCAAAATCTGGTCGAGCTAACTTTGATCACCTCTAAATCTCTAATATATATGTATGTACCATATCGTATTTGAATCAATGTTAGCTCATGTGATGTGGATGGAAATAAAGAGAAATCACGTGCTTGTAAAATATAACGTTAATAATACGGAAGTATTTAAAAGAACAATAAATGAACAAATGTATTAGGGTTATATTCATAATCCGCTTAAAAACAATATAGCGCAAGGGTATGAAATTATTATGAGTATGATATGCAAATTTAGCTTAGCATTGATTCAGATATGGAGTCACTTTTATAACAAGTCCAAATTTTACTAAGAAACGATAAAGATCATTTATGTATCAAATCGAATATTCATCTTAAATACTTTCTTATTTAAATAAAATATGTATATCTACTCTTACATCAAGATTGAAGTATCGTGTCAGAGTGTGAACAATATATAACAATATATGCTATTTATGTATCAATTCAAATATTTATTTAAACATTCAAAACAATTAATACAACACTAATCACATCACGATTGAAGTACATGTAGGAGTGTGAACTTGTGTTCATATTTTCAAGCCATATTTCACATATTTAATTTTAGTAAATGTTGTTATCAATGTTGTTAAAATAGTCTTTGATGGTGATCTAAGTAAAAGCAAATTTGTTTGGTATAGTCCTGAAGATAGACAATATTCAAATCACTTCATGGTCTTTCATCAATATGGTCCTTTCTATTATTATACTAACTTAATTCCATGCCATGAGGTGGGACATTCTTCACCAAATATATTAATATGAACTTGTCAGAAATCTCAGAATACATATACAGTGTAACTTTTGTCAGAAAATGCATACTTTTTCCTCAATAACTTTTTTAACAGAATTGAAGAAATGCTTTGGGTTTTATAAGATTTGAATTTTAAGGTAAAAGAACTTTTTCTACTTTGTATTGAGAAAGAAAAACAATGAAGAAATGATACAAAATATTTAACAGAATATAAGCAGTTGAATCTGTATTTATTCAAAAAATTGAATATGAAATACAATGTGGATGTTTTGCAAGAAACATAAACAAAGGGTGGTAAATATTGTCAATATCAATATCCTAAAAGCCAATCAAGATTATTAGCCACACCCCCTCAAATAGAGATTAAATGGGTAGTTTTCAAATGTCATTTTGTTGTAATTACCAAATTTCTTGTATAGTCAGTAAACTATACAGTAATCCTTTCTCATTAGACTCAATTGTTGAGGAGAAAGGTTGCTGGGTTAAATTTTGCTGCATAACCAAACTTTGAAGTTGAATATTTCCTATGTACTCCACTTAGCTTTCCTGTTCCTGCCTTTTGATGGAAATTGACCATAAGCTTTGAGCATTCCCTGCAATCCCATAAAGTTTAATTAGAAAATCATCGCGAAATCACAAATTTAATTCAATAATGGTAGGATTCTATGTTACTAGAACTTGTGTTTCGAGTTGAGATGAAGAGTCCGAGTAACATATTTAATAGGTAAGCGCGGAAGTGAAAAGAAAGACTCACAGGAGCTGGTCTTCAGTGTAGTTTGTGTAAAACTCACAGCTCTTGCTCCACTGTTTAAAGCCATACAAACTGCACTGTGCTGTATACACTGCAGCAGCAGCTAACAGTGAAGGTGGAAATTTGATCATTTCATACTCCACCAAAGAAAGTTCAATCAGATAAAAGCACAGCAGCTCAAGCTTCTTGTCAGATTCAGCAGCTTTCAGATATCTTCTTAGAAAAACATATGGGGTTGGCAAAGAAATGTTAAATTGCAATGTGTTGAGCATTATTTTCTCCTGCAAAACAATGATATTAACAGTTAAATCTACTACTTGTGTTTCAAAATCAGATAAAAATTCGGGTTTTCGAGGGTAATTTATATACCATTTCAAGAAGATCTTCTCTAGTATAAGCTTTGTCAGAAATAAAGATTAAATCTTCAACAACAGGTACAGAAACTTCTTCATATTTGCAAGCTAACAACATTGCAATTAAACCCACTAATTGCAGCTTCTTTCTCACCATTGTATGTTTAGCTAGGAATCTGTCTATTAGATGTACTGTGAGAAATAAGGTCTCATCCCTAAGTTCAAATTTGTAATGTACCTGTGTATGAATTCAAAATTTTGATTAGAAAACTATACAATAAGTCAATATATAATTGCAAATTCATTTAATGTACTTTATATTATATACATTGTCATATGAAGTGTAAATTTTATAAATAATTTTTACCTCAACAAGCCAGTCAATCAGTATAGCCCTCATCTTTTCATTAATGTCAAATTGCTGTGACATGTAATCTGGTGATACACAGCTGCATGCCTGCAATGAGGTTATGAACAAGGTTAATTAGCTTAGCAGTTCTTTAATTTCAATACAGACCACGTAATATGGATATGTGTTCAAGTGTGAAACCCGACTTATTTTTGAAAAGTTTCCATACGCTCATGATCCGACATGAATACATATTAAATTATATATGTTACTTTTTAAATTCTATATAAACCTTTCCATACATTATTCACCAATGTCAGATTGTTGATAATCCAACACGAGTACTTTTAAATTCGATGACAAGTAAAATTGATCTTTCCATAAGTTACCCATCCACATCGGATTGTTCGTTGGCAATCCGACACGAGTACTTAAAAATTCAATACATTACTTTTAAAAATATTAAAATTATATGATAAAACAATCAAAATTGATGAAAAATTACCTCCATTTTCTTATAATAAAGGTAAAGATCATCAATATAGTCAGTAACAGCAAGAGGGTTTTTTGAATCACGGCCATCAATGTCCAAGATTGGATCTTCAAAGATGTCTTCCATCTCAACCTCTTCCTGTAATTTATTAAAGTTCACAGTAAATAAAATTATTATTATTTTCACATAATTAACCAAAATTTGTACCAAAATTAATATCAAATTAATGTATACCATCTCATTAATCTGATTTTGTGCTGCAGATTCAGGCTTTTCCAATGACATTGGCACAGGCACATCTGTAATTGTCTTACACTCCACATCTATTATTTTAACATCTTCAATAACTTCACTTGAATTTTGAACTTTGATTTCTTGTTTATTATTAATTTCAGCAGCAAATTTCCTGAAAATAAATATATCTAAAATCATCAGAAAAAACTCAAGATTTTTGTTTTTTGTTATTCTTTTTTTTTTTTTTTTTTTTTTGGGTATCATATCACATTAAAATAAAAATTGAAATTAAAAAACAAATAAATAATACCTTGTGACTGGTCTTTGTACAGGATTGGGGATGTTTTCGTCAAAAATTACACATTTTCTGCAAGTAAAACAAAATTAACAAAAAATTAACACAAGATTTTAACGAATAATTCAAAACCCATAATTTTTTGAACATTTTTTTTTTTCGCAAAATTTGAATGAGGAGAGAGAAAATGAGAATTACTGTGAATCGGGTCTTTTGTTAACAACGCAAGGATAAGGCTGAGATCCAACCAAATTCTGATTAATCACACTTAATGCTCTTCTTGTTCTTTTAGCTTCATGCCCAAATTTTCTGGGACCTAATACAAATTCAACAAAAATTCAAAACCCCACTTCGTTAAACAATTAATTTCATCTAATTAATCAATCATAACCGAAAAAAAAAAATCAAACAAAATTACCTTGGAAATTGGGAATACTTTGATTTTCATTGTTAATCATCTTTGCTAATTATAATCTCAAGATCTAATTAATCTCAATCAAATAACAAAGAATAAATCAAACCCCAGAAAAATCAACAAAAACCCCAGAAAAATTAATAAAAACCCCAGAAAAATCTTAACTACTTCTCTTGATTATGAACAAAAATGAACAAAAAATCTGAGGTATAATTAGTTCATTTACTAATTATACTCTCTTTCTCTCTCTCTCTCACTTTCTCTCTCCTCTCTCTCTCTCTCTCTCTCTCTCTCTCTCTCTCTCTCTCTCTCTCTCTCTCTCTCTCTCTCTCTCTCTCTCTCTCTCTCTCTCTCTCTCTCTCTCTCTTACTCAGTCATTCAAGAGCTCAGGTAAATAAAGAAGAAGAAGAAAACAGAAAAAGGAAAGAAATAAAATTGTTGCCTTAAAACGGAAACAACGGAAAAATTGTCTGGAAAATACACGAACCTAAACCCCCTTAAATTTTCAAATACAACGGCTAGTGAAAATATATGGCCGTTGGATGAACTAAACCACGCCCTTCTTTTTTTCTTTGATATGAGCTAGCCTTAGCCAACGGTCACATAAATTGGCTGGCATGTGACACATACATTGCACCCACGTGACCCGACCCGGCCCGAATAATCATACTTAATTGGAAAATATTGATATTGTATTAGTGTAATGTGTATACAATATGATTGGGTTTTTGATTTTTGATTTTGATTTTATTATTTTATTTTATTCCTTTTTGGTAAGATGACATACGCTCTCCCTAAGTGCAAGAGTCATACGCTCCTATGCACTTTGTAAATTTTTTTATTTTTTTTTATTTTTTTTTTTGGGTTTGAGAAAAAAAAAAGAAAAGAGTGAGAATCATAAAGATTTGGAAAGTATAAAAGGTAATATATCTCATTGATATGGATTATGTGTGAAATTATTGGAGCTTGGTTTTTAGAAAGTTATTTTTAGAGAATCTGTTTTGATTTAGATTAGGATGTATGTGGTGAGTCATTAATTTTATTTGTACATTTATTTGATGGAATTGGATTAGCTTGTAATTAATTGAGTTAATGGTATTAAAGGCAATGACAACAGATTGAAAGCTTTGATGTTAGCTAGACAGGTCTAGTAAAGATGTATGAATTCGATCCTAAATAGAAGGTCAAAATACATATAAGAATCACGTGGTTGCCAAAAAATATTTATATACACATATGTGTACAAAGTTTTACCAGTTTCGAATTGCATGCTTTAACCGACATGTGAAATACCTTAAATGTTCTATTGACGGCGCTAGTTGATTTGATTGCATTAATGAGTCATCACAACTCTTAACATTTATTAAAGTTGTCATTGGATTTCATTCCCCGTAATTAAATGTATTTACTTGTAAAAAACATGCACTATAACGGCTACAAAATATAAGGAATTCATAGTAATGATATTACATTGTATTAATTTGACTTAAAAATATCTAATACAAAGGATATACCACGTATCTAAGCTAACTAACAAACATTTATGGATTATTTTTTATTCCTTTCCTTCGTCTTTGTAAATTATTTTTTCACACTTTAAAATTAAAGGGATGTATTCCATATATGCACATACTTTTTAAATTGCATTATTCATATGATATGTGAAACTATTGATTACACTAGTGTTTTTTTTTTTGAAAGCGATTACACTAGTTGATTTACTTGCATTAACAAGTTATTACAATTGCGGATATTTAATAAAGTCGACATTAGATTTCATTATTAATAATTAAATACAAAATTTAAAGACGGTTTCTTAATAAAAAAAAGGGAATTAATATTAGTACATTTCATTATTAATAATTAAATGCAAAATTTAAAGATGGTTTCTTAATAAAAGTGAATTAATATTAGTACTAATAGGAATATTAACTAAATAAAATGTTCATCATAAGCCAATTTATAAACATGACTCCACAAGGTACGATTTTACAAATTGCCTCAAAAAAAAAAAAAAAAGAGTACGATTTTACAAATAAAAAATTGTAATATATGGTTTGCCAGAATGTCAGCCTACATCAAACTGCATATGATCCAAATTCCAAACTGCATCACATAAATCCCAAGCTTTTAAAAATATAAAACTGTAAGACCCACTTGAAACTTTTCTGCCAATGTCCTTCATTGAAGCATTTTACCAACAAAAAATAATAACATTATTACCATCACAAATTTGAGAGTTCAACCCTTTAGTATAAAGTCACCTAACCATCAAATATAACAAATGATAATAAAAAAATTCTACATCTCAAATAGTTTTACTGGTAAAGTTTAAAAATCAAATTTATTTTACACCATCACCCTTCATGAATATAGACAAAATATGCATAAAAAGTTTTTCTTCAGAACAATCATGATCTTATGAAAGATCCACATTGAACCTTTATTAAACTAATTATATATATCAAATCATTATTGTAGAAAAGAGCCATTCTAAAATCACCAAAACTCAGAATTAATTATTCGTGGACAATTGAACTACTTAGTTTTATGAAATCAAATTATTTGAAAACATACAGTGACCTTGGTAGACAGTTTCCACACAATTTTAGACCTTAGTAGATAAGGTAGTATGCTTTTTAAATAATTAAATTAACTAGTTTGAGAAAGGGAGTTGACAATATATTTGAAAATAATGTAAAAGCACTAAAGTGAAAAGCAACAATAACGTATCTTTATAATTTTCCAGAAAATAATTTTCATATGTGCCTTATGGTTTATATTGCACCATAAACTTGGTACATGTTCCATCTATGCCAAGGCACCGAGATGATTTTAAGCTGATGCACTATTCACCTATCGCCGTTGCTTGATTTTGTTAACACTTAACTCATTTCCTACCAAAACTAAATTAATTTACACATTTTTGTGTCTGAATAAGAACTAATAGATGCAGCTTGATTTCTATTTCCCCTTCGCGTAGCAACAGGCTGAAGACACGACTGAACTAGAAATTGGAATTGCAAGGTAGCCTTCCCCAAAACCTGCATTGTCCTGCACCAACAGTAACAAATTTACAGGAAATTACTAGAATGATTCCATAGAAACATTACGGAAAAAGAAGGTATAAAATGGCATCTCAGTAAAAGAGAGAAACTCCTGAATCTACAAAGGGGCACCAATATTACACAACCCTGTCCCACTTTCCAGAGAAACTCTAAAATTATAACAGTAATATATAATCTCCCTACATACACACACACACACACGGGTGAGAGAATAGAAAAAGGTATACAAACCTGTGTTGTGATAAACTCTTGAGCTCTGAAGCGTTGGTGATCGATCATAGAGCATGTCAACTCATTTAAAAATGCTCGACAGTTTCGGTATTCTCTTTTTCTTGTTAGACCCTTTTTGACATTGCATTCCTGCGGCTGGCTGCTTTTTTGGTTTACGGTAAGGCTTGCTAGGATCCTTATCTCCTTCGAAAAGGTTAGAGAGACTTAATACATTCAACACATTGACAGAAGCCTGAGTTTTGTGCTGTTTTAATATACTGGATGCATCTTCTAGCACATCCAGCATCTCTTCAGGAACCTCAGCATCCTGTTGTTTCTCTGTTGTGGGAAAAGTCTCTAGAACATTAAGTATCTCGTTTGGATCCAGTGTTTGGAGCTGTTTTGCCATCATGGGTACTTTTTTTAGCATGACAGGGATCTCCTTTGGAATCTCGGCTTCTTTGTGCTGTCTAATTTCCAGCTTAGAATCTTGCTGTGGCATCTCATTCGGCAGTGAAAGAAAATTGTTGACATCTTTCACCACCTCTTTCTTATGCTGCTGCTTTCTTTTTGCTATACTTTGGCTGCTTAAAATTTCCCCCAACTGTTTATTAACAAGCTCATGTGGAGCATCTGTGCTCTTGCTCTGCTTCAGTTTCTTAGTACTTTGTCGGTGCAGTTGATCATCAGGACCATCTGTATTACGCTTTGACTTGCCCTTGCAAATTTGTGTCTCATGTTTAGGATCTTTTGAATTTGGCCTCCCTAGCTCCATTTGCTCAACTTTTACTTTAGATTTATGGAAGCCATCTTTCTTCTCTGAAAGGAGCTTGGGCCTAGAGTTGGTAATCCCACCCCTCATTGTATCCATAATAACTTTGCCAAGAACAAATCTGGTCTCTGCTATGTCCCCCTTCCCAAGCAATTCGTAATCAATGCCATAACAATGCCTTTTCTTCCTCAGATACTTAATGTTGCCCTCCAGCACGTCAAAAATTGCAGTTGCTGCTTTACCAGCATTCTTTGATATAAATACCTACAGACTCACAATGAACAGGAGATTTTAAAAAATGCCTCTGAAAATATCTGAACAACTGCAGAATGGGAGCATACTGAATATTTTACTTTCTCTGTTCTTTTCCAGTTGACACGATTTAACATTTGGCATTGACTACCATTTGAGACTTATAGTTATGATGAAACATAATCATGTAGGATCTTGATACAATACTTTCCTATATATCAATGTATACTTTCATAATATCAAATTTTAACAATTATTTACTTATTGATAATTAGAGATATCAATCGTTAAACTTGTGCATTGGCAAACATGATATAAGAAATGTGTCAATTTAAAAGGAAATGGAGGAAGTATGTAGTGTGTAAGAGTGGCAAACGCAAGCTAGTGCAAGAGAGGTTCTTAATTTCTTACCGCAGCAGGACATGGAGATGATGGGTAGCGAGCCATGATTTTACGAAGAATTTTGGAATCAGTCAAAGCACCAATAGAGTCGAGCACAATTGAAGCAAATTCAGAAACTCTCTCTGCAAGTTCCTCTCCCGCCACATCATCAAAGGAATTTAAGATCTCTGGCGTAAAATTAACATGCCCTCCAGAAAGTTCTCTGGCAGCTTTTACACCTTCGTCCCACGTGCCATGATGCAGAAGAGATGAGAAGGTCCACACTACAAAAGCTTCTTGAGGATTATTGACCAATGCAAGGTGGAAAACCAGCAAGCTTATCCTGTTGCACACAAAAGAGGCATTTACATTTCAGCTTGCATTTCGAGTTTTCAACTCACATAATGATTTATCCCTTTCAGTCAACAATTATACTTCCAGCTTTCAGCTGTATTGATAAGATTCACTTTATTAAATTTATGTTCATATCAGCATAAGAAAGCTAGCCGTGTCCTCTCTTCTCCTTCTCTCTTTGTAGTCTTTCACTCTTTTCTCTCTCACTCCCACAGGCCACAGGCACACTCCCCCACCCCTTCTTTTTATGTCAACAATTGTACTTCAAGCTTAAACAAGGTAGAGGGAGACCAAAAATGACTAGGCTACGTAATGCGCATGTTTTGATGGATATGCTGGAACACTCTGAGAAATAGAATCAGAAATGAAGTTATTCGCAAGAAAGTGGGTGCTGCAAACATTGCAAACAAACTAAGGGAAAATCGTCTGTGTTTCAGGCATGTAAGACGGAGACCGCAGGGTCCACCAGTACGAAGAGTAGAAGAGTGGGATCATGGAAAGCTTAAACGAGGTAGAGGGAGACCGAAAATGACTTGGTAGGAAGGATTTAGGAAGGATATGAAGCAAATGGATTTGCATGATAATGAGGTATTTGATTGTAAGGGATGGAAGAGGAAGATTTTTGGGGATGACTATATGGAATAATTACTTTTGGTTCATGTAGCCAACCACACTTATGGGATTAAGGCTTTGATTGATTAAATTATACTTCCAGCTTACTGTAGT